TTTTTTTGACCGTAGTTTGGACTTTGTTCTTGATTTTAACATTAAATATATTATATTGCCATACACATAAATGTGAGCCGTTGATTTTATTTAAACGAAAATTGATGGAAAATAACAAGTAATGTCATCGTTTTTCTAAAAATGAGACAGATTGGCTATACACAATTATAAATTCGATATTTGGAAAAAGAGTGGCGGATAAATGTTACATTAATAGATTAATGTAACTTTTATCCGCACAAATATTGATAAGTTAGATATATTTGATAAGTTATTATATTTTTAGCGAGGACCGCGAGACATTGGAAGTCGTTACAAAATAGCGGTATTTTGTCGCGGTATCTTTCTGGAACGGTCGCTAATGTTACGTGACTCATGTGGAACCGATATACCCATCACTACCCTGAAGGCCCCCTCATGAATTCGCCACTGATTCACATGATCTGTCGATTTTAGACGGTCATTCATGCGAAGTAAATTCAAATGACTTGACCAGTTGACTTGACTCGTGTAAACGCACCTTTATTTTCTTCAACACTACTACATTTTTAAAGAGGTTTTTAGTACGCCAGCACTCAGAGCGGGATCTGTTGATGGATTAAAGTAAATATTTAATTTTTCTGTAATGGTGGAGGGCCCATAAAATTGTGTTTTCATTGTAGTAAAACAGTGTTAAACGCACCAGGCGAACGCGTTGGTACAATTTTAAAGCCAATGGAAAAATAAACATTCTCGTCGGGAACACGGCTTTTCTTTTTTAATTTGAAATAGAAAACTAACGACTTTAATTCTCGCAGTTCAAATTGGATTGAAGTCTTAATTTAATTTAAAGAATATTCTATGAAAGCTTTACCTATTATCCTTGAAAAAATAATGTAAATGATTTAATTTGTAAGAAGAGTTCCCGTTTGGCACATAACGGTTTACCTGTTAGGTAAGATGGATTAAAGACTAGTGTATCCACTGGAAATGTGGTTTTAAATAGAGATGAGCAAAACTGCGATTCTCCAATCGCAATTGAAACTGCGATTGCAATTTTTAAATCGCAGCGACTGCAACCTGCGATTGCCATTTTAATATTTACCAAATCAAATTATTCGTAAAAAATGCTTCTTCCAAATACCCCATCCCATCCACCCTCGTTCCATTTGAAAAAATTGAAATATGATTAAAAATTGATCAGGACAAGACGCGAAAAACTATCAAATCTATTTTTCCAAGACATCTTGATTAAAATTGGTGTTTTAACACAGCCATGACATTCTAGATTGAAATTTATAATACGATTTTATTAATAATGTGGCCTAAGTGAAAAAGTCAGAAGTTACCATATTATATGCCATTCTATTCAGAGTGTCATTTTCTATCGAATAAAGTAAAAAATGCGGAGGGTGTCATTTAAAAATCAAAAGTTGTAGTCATTTCCGGTGAAACGGGAAGGGACCAAAAACAATTGAATACATCAATCAATCCTAATTTATATCATACCTATATACTAACATACCAAATATCGTTTTTTTATCTGATAAAATAAAAAAGTTATAGGGGGTGAGCCACTGTTGTGATCCTGAGTTGGACCACTGTTGTCACCAATCTTGTAGTCGCTGCCACCAAATATAGTAGTTCTCTATTGAGTCACCTTGTTGTGATTTGACTCGTACCACCACTTGTGTTGGGAATTTTATTATTTATTTTTTTATAATTAAACTCTTACTAATAATTGGTTATTACTTTTTTAATTTTAGATTTTTAATACAAAATACAAATTTTAACTAACAAATATTCAGGATCACAACACAACTTTTGAGACGCACCCGGTATACCGATGTTTAACTTAATTGATTTTTTTTATAAATAAAGAGAGTATTAATTAATATTAGGCAAACAAGCATTGACAAAATAAGCCTGTTATTACAGACCCAAGTATTATAAAAATAATGAATCTATTTTAGGTAGGCCATGCTTTCGGCGCGTGAAAATTTGAATCAACCAACGTTAAAAAGTGACGTCAATTAAAAATATTATCCCGACAGGCTTTGGAAAGCGCTCATATGTTTTATGTGTGTTGATGTCACGTGATTGGCGGTATTACAAGTGCTATTATCGTTGTCGCACAATCCATTTGGAAGCAAAAATAAATTGGCGCGACAATTTAACCGTCATTATAATGTGTACTGAGTGGATCAAATAATTGAAAGAAAAATTATGTAGCAAATTTGCAAATTTGTAAAAAATATTGAGAAGTTTAAAACTCCACTATCTTCCGCAGTTGACAGCTCACGTCAACAAATGACAACAACTGATTTTAAATCAATTGGTTTCTCATCCGTACCGCAAGATTGGCAATAAAAAAAAACTCTGACCTCCCTTCACTCAACTGTAAGGTGGTACGAAGTTAGCCATGTCATTTTAAAATAAAATAATTAGCTATACCTACCTATAATATGATGTATAATATGTGTGTGTGTTGTGTATATTGTGTATAGAGGGTAAATTTACAAAAAATGAGAAAAAATATTAATTTTCGAACAAAAGTTTATGAGGCATCAGTTGACGATGTGTGAAATGGGGTGAAACCAGTGACGTGGGGTGAAATTTTTAGAAGGAGAAGAGATTCGATAAATGCTCGGATAAATGTATAATTATTAAAAAGTCGAAAAATATTTTTGTATAATCTACAAATTATGTACCTACGTTGATTGGGGACCATTATCATGGATTATATTTAATCCACTACCTAAATTTAGGGCTGTAACGAGCCCTGTTTTTTAACTTGACCGAGTGCCGAGTACTCAGCTAAAGGTAATGGCCGAGTACCTAGTACTTGGCTGCCGAGTAGTCTTAACAGTTATGCGACCTTTATCAATATATACTAATTATACTATACACCATAACATAATATTATATTTTATACATAATATAAATATAAATATATAATTTAACATTAAAGAAAGCTAGTTAAAATTCCCGCAATTCCCCGGCCTTAAACCAATGATCTTGTTTGTTTTGCCTATGATTGGCGAGCGGCTGGGATTCCCCGACTACAAACCAATGACCTGGTTTGTTTTTCTTATGGAGATATTGTTTTATTCTGTGGTTCACCATGCAAACTGATATTTCTAATGTGCTAGATTCTGAATTGATTCTTTTAAGGGTGGAGACGTTGATTTTGTTTTAAGCAAAACTTATATGTGTAACTAATTTAAAGGTCAAAAATAATTCAAACAATTAATAATACCCTTTAAAGTTATGTTAAAATGAGTGACAGTGCTGACCTCTTTTCGATTATAAGTATTAAATTATTATTTCACTGTGTTTGTGTTATTACTTATACTTATTATTATTACTTTGCTAAAATACATTAATTAAAGTTATGAATGAATAACTTTTTGTTTATTTTATTATTTGCCACTGTGAGTCTCATTTCTATCTGTTTTGGACATGCATAAATGGATTGTTTCTATTACTATACTTTACTCGGCCTACTCGGCCGAGTAAGGCCGAGCACCGAGTACATATTACTCGGTTAAAATTCTGGCCGAGCACCGAACTACTCGGTACTCGGTGCAGCCCTACCTAAATTCATATTAATTGCTATAAATTATTAATTAAAAAACTTGTTTCTTTTTGTTTCAACCATATAAGTCTCAACGCTTCAACGTATAGTGAAGCGCCGCGCCGGCGCCGTTTCCATCGTTTCCATGGACCGCACGCCCCTGCAGACGGCCCAAAACCAGTTCTACCCAGGTTTGTTAAGGTTGGTTAAGGGAAGCATCTAATTTTTTAACAGAGGTGTAAAATCACAGATGTGAAATGATAATACAACATTACAACATACAAGCAAAGTCTAAGGTTATGTCAGTAAATAAAAATTGTTTAAATATGACTGTAAACGTAAAAACACGACAAAAAATCAAACAGAAAATAAAGGTGGACTCACACAATACAATAAAACAAGAATTACATCAACTAAGAACAAAATATTTCTCATTTGTATTTTTATAAGAAAAAATAATAAAATAACTAGGCTGGTTTTAGTTAATTACTATTAATTACTTACAAAAATAAATTCTTTCATTCAAAAAAAAAATATTCTAAATTACATTACGAAATGATTGAAAGAATACATATAAATAGTGATACAGTACAGGACAGAAAGAAAGACTATCCAAATGCAGTAAGGCATAGGCGTAACAATTTTTCTTTTTCTCCTAATATTCGATCACTCATTAACTCGCTTCATGGCTTCAGTTACAAAATAATCAATAAGGTATAGTTACGCTTTTCATTATGTAAAAAAATATATAATTATTTTATAATTTATTTCGATATATATAGTATCTCAAAAACACTCGCATGTCTTGAGGAAAATCACATATTAATCTACCATTGGCCTACATCCAAAATAAATTCAGCGGCATTCACTATTCCAGTTAAGGTCACTTTAGAAACAAAACACACAAATATGTTTATAAAGAAACCTATATAAGCATATTAAACCCTCTAACAAAGAGTTTTATTCAACACTGGCCAAGTCAACATCAGCGATTCAACAAGATAACTAGCTATTTTTTTATCATATCAGCCTTAATTGAAAACCCACTCAAATCATTTTCAATTTGAGTTGTAATAAGCCTAGTCAAAAGTTCTTTCACCATGAAATTACCCTTATTTCCAAAAAACGCTTAAATTTTTTGGCCTGCATCCAAAATATATTCAGCAGCCTTCACTATTCAGTTAAGGTCACATAACTTACAGACAAAACAAACAAATTTGTTTAAAGTACCCATAGAGAATGGTGACAAGACTTTTATTCAAAACTGTTCACCCAAGCAGGTAATTTGTGCCCTAGCTGTACAAGTCAGGAGCGCTTCAACAATATAATTGGCCGTTTTTTATCATGTAAACCAGCCTTAATTGAAAACACACTCCAAACATTTTCAATTTGACTTGTAAATAAGCCTAGTCAAAGTTCTTTCATCATTGAAATACCCTTATTTCCACAAAAAATCGCTTAGTATTTTTACTTGTGCGCAAGCAGTCGCTCAGTTTTCGTTCTATCCTCGTCCAGCCAATGAAACAAACCCATTTTCCCAGTCCAACACGCAGACTTGGTTTTGAAAGTTACATCATTGATCGAAAACTGAAAATCGTGTATACTGGATATAGTTTAAGCCCTGTGAGTGTTTTCAAGAACAAAGAAAACTAAGTTTTGACATTCAATGTCCATGATATCATCACAAAACATGTAAGTTTGTCCGTTTTAAGTAGATTTTATAGCAGGCTTGTATGTTTATGTTTTAATCTTAATCAGCTGATAACGCTAGCTCGATAAATGCGGTTTTTAAGGTTTTACAAAGGTGTCATCGCAAGAAAAGCGTAATTTAAAAATCTAGAAGGCTTACCTTAAATTTTCTTGGTGTTATCAGGGGGTGGCTTAGGTCTAGAGGGGTCGAAACTGACTACAATCGATGACGACACAAAGACAACGCAACAAGCACAGCAGCAGCATTCAGCCAATTCAGCCCGGTCGCCGAAAACGACTGGTTAAGCGAGCTTCACACTACGACACGGTCGTTTCGACTTCAGTGCGCTGCCAGTTGTGGTGGGAGGGAACGAAATAAGGGCTCACAGCTGAGCCTGGCAGGGAAAGGGGGAACATGAAAACACGAAACGCTGAAAGGCCAACTATGGGTGATCGGCTCGGTTACTTTCGTGCCCTTTGTATTGTACTGTTCCATGTACAAGGCGTTTAAAAAATTACACACAAAGATTTCTAATTTAATATGAGAGATTTTATCATCATCATCACTTCCAGCATATTCAACAATCTCCAATTATGGTGTAGCCGTGTAGCCTCCCTTAAATATTTGGATAATCTATTTGTAATTGGGTCCATAGTTGTCTATTGTTGACTATGCGGGTCCAAATTATCGCAACAAACTACCACCTCCTCCAGCAAGGGTCGGGAGTACTCTACCCTACCTCTAGACCCTAGACCCAATAAGCGACACAAGCTACCGTTTCGTTTACCTGGCCTGAGTCAACCAGGCGAGCTAGATGATCCTCTGAGAGTAGGTCTTAGCGGAGCAGAAGCACGGAGATACCTCCGCCTACTACACGAAGGACTTGCTCCAGAGGAAGCAAAAGCGAAAACACTCCTCGGAAAAGGGGAGAGTAAAGGAACCAAGAAACAGCCTGGCGCATCTCCACCAAAGGGCAAGAGAAAGAGCGAGAAACTTTCACATCTGCTCCGGCAAGGAGAGAAAAAAACCAGGATAGAAAGCCGTCCAACACCGGGAGGCAAGCAGGGACGTATCACCAGCTTTGCCGCTATTGCTGGACAAGTGAAAATGGCGGTGCTGCCAAAGGATTACCCAGAGGTTGCACCGACCACCGATGAGCAAACGGCTCTAGAAGAGGCGATACTGGACGAAGTAGTGGCAACCGGATCGCAACACAACGACCTATAAAATGTGGGTCAGCTGCGTTTAGCGGGGATACACTTTCGGATGGGCATGATCATCATCGTTTGTGTATCTCAAGAACCGGCGGATTGGTTGGTGAAAATCGCACCTAAGCTTAAAAATTGGGGCGGCCATCACGGTCTTTCTGCCGAGGAGCAAGGGGAAATATATCACCTACCTGCTGAGCTTTATCCAGGCTCAGAACTCCAATGTAACGACATCGAGTTGGCGAGTCATCAAATCGAAGGAGGAGGGTCATGGTCAGGTCCCCACAATAAGGATTGACCTCAAATCCAAGGAGGCAATAGAGTAAAAGGGATCAATAGAGAAAGAAAGGATATCCTCTATTTTATAGATACGAGACAACATCGGTATCAGGTCTAAGGAGAGACCAAGTTAAAGAGGTGGAGAAAATGGAGACAGATGTTCCAGCATTAACCTCACGGATACCTCAGCCGAAGGCAAGCTCCTCAATTGTGAAGGGCACGGAGAGCCAAACTCCAAGCGTGGAAGGGTGTATACCCCCGGAGGAAGAACATTTGTTGTCAGAGGAGGATGGGCATACCCTGTCCCCCCTATAACAGGAAAATGTATGACGGGGTATAAAGTGTATAATGAGTTATAACTCAAGGAAGGGGACACAATAGATCTTTAAGGTCGCAGTGATTAACCCCTGTCACTCATTCTACATTATATCCCTGCTAATTTCCTAATATCATAGTCCCATCTTAGGTTGTCTTCTTCTAGGTCTCTTAATTTTTCGTCGGTACCATGCTGTCATTTTTGTAGTCCATCTGTTGTCCGCCCTTCTTGTCAGCTGTCCTGCCCATTGCCACATCACAACATTTAATTCTGTTAATGACATCTGTTACCTGGGGTCGTACCTACTGTATTTTTTACTATTTTTCTTTGTTATTCCCAGCATATATTCCGTTCCATTGAGCGTTGTGTGACCTGTTTCCTTGTGATGTCGTTTTTAAGTGTCTAGGTTTCGCATGCATAGGTCATGACTGGTAGTACACACTGATCGAATGTTTTCTTCTTTAGATAAAGCAGCATTCTAGATTTGAATATGATTGAGATTTTTCCATATGTACTCCTTGCTTAATTGAATTCTTCTGTTCATTTCTGGTAGTAGAAATCCACCATTTGATGATGAAGATGAGATAAATTGATGATGCATTTTCAGATCTATTCATCTACCATCGCTCCGAAATTAATGAATAATTTGCTCCAATACATGTGCAAACAGATAAAATGGAAGGAATTGGGTATAAATATAAATAGCGAAAACTTGGATCAACTAGGATTTGCTGATGACATTGTCTTGATATCCGACATCGTAAATAAAGCCCAAGAAATGTTACAAAAATTGAATGAAACATGGAACCTCTGAACAAATGGGACTAAAAATCAACATCTCAAAAACGCAAGTGATGACAAACCTACTAATTGGCGATGGTTAACCAGTATCAAATGACATAGGCCTGCTATGGACGATTGAAATACATTTTCGTAGGGGTAATTAAAATGGATTTGGACATCGTATAGAAGGATAGGTATAGGAACGTGTATAGTTAAAATGTAACGAATTGAAAAGTCTTTTCACTAGTGAAATAAAGAAGTGGGTTTCCATTTGACAAAAATAATTTATGATAATTTTTTAGTCGCTCAATTCTATGACAGCTGCGGCCATTATTATATGACATTAGAACAATTTAATTTTTGAATTAGATAGCTACATGTTTTCTCTTCATGGCACAGTGGCTGGGGTAATCACTAAATTTGACGTTTAGTCTATACACATATTTTTGACAGGCAGTTTTTTTCGTTCAAAAATTTTAATTTTTTTTCTCAAAAACGGTTAATGTTAGGTATAAAGTGTTTAATATCAGAATTTATAAAAACAAATAATTTAAGTACATAATAAAAAACGGGAGCACCCATTTAAAATAAGAAAGTTGCTGTCAACTTCCGGTATTTCCGGAAGTGCCGCCATATTGAAAATATTTTTAATCGATAGATCTCGTTGTGAAACTATGATGTGCAAAAAATCTCCGAGCTAGATGTTATAGTTCTCTAGAAACTTCTAATGCACGCTCAGCCTGGGACACCCTGTATGCCTAGTAAAAATATGCATATAGGGAAAGAACCTGATAATCACACCAGGCGTCTAGAGCTCTCCTCTAAAATTAGTAAAATGGCGCATATCATGTTTTTCTCCTGGACCCTTCAAATATTTTATCTTTTCCATTTAATTTTTTTAAGATTTGTTTTTTTTTCACTAAAATATCAAATCTAAAATAAAATAAAATCTAAATAAAACAAACATGTTCTTCCAGATAAACTGTAAAAATGCAAACATCAAACCTTTTTATAAAAAATACCTTTTGACCTTTTTTATCCGTACTTTTTTAGTTAAGTCATGTTCTTTGTTCCCAGATAATCTGAAACCCACGACTATGCCTCCTCCGTCTTATCGGCAGTTTGTCCGTAAATGTTTGCTGGCTGGGACAAAATTCAAGGGCCAAAAGAAGAAATACGTCCTAGCAGGGGGTGCGGGTGTAGGGCTGGCGGTCTCGGCTCTGGGGAGTGTGAATAGCGATGACAACATCGTGGTGGGAGCCAGGGGCGTACTTAGGTTTTCTAGGTAAGTAGAAAAATACAATTCCGAAAAAGTATAATTTTTCGTCCCCTCTGTACTATTATTTTTTGAGGGTTGTCTTGTGCTGTCTTTCAGATCTATTAGGATAGGTTTAGCGATATCCTTCGACTACTATTTTTCTATGTTAGGCCTTACTGAAAACACACCAAATTATGAAACAATGATGAGCAGGATTCATCAGAGATGTGCAGAACGAATAAGGGATGGCTGTTTGGAAAATGGCGGAACTTACATTAAGTTAGGACAAGGATTAGTATCTTTAAGTCATATTTTACCCAGAGAATATATACAAACTTTAAAGATATTACAGGTATAAATTGAAAAACACATTTTATTTGTAATCTTGTAAGAATACCGTCACTAAAAACAGTTACAATAGCTTTATTTGAATTTATAAGTTTATTGTTTTAGTTAAATGACTTATTATATTTTTAGGATAAATGTTTAGCTAGAAATACCGAAGAACTGTATCAAGTATTTAGAGAGGATTTTGGTAAAACTCCTGAAGAACTGTTTCAGGATTTTGACCCTAATCCAATAGCAGCCGCTAGCATAGCACAAGTAATTGAATTTTGATATTCATTTTATCTTATCCAAATTTTATTTAATTTTGTCTGAATGTATCATTAATAGTAATAAAATGAATAAAACTAAAAACTTAAAGAACAAAAAATATTCTTTAGAAATTTTCATGTTGAAATCGGTTGAAGTGCTTCATCCTAGTTTGACATTTAATCGACTGTCTGTAGAAAGGAGTTGTTAATAAACGATTCGATATTTTAGAATTCTTATTTAGAAATAACAGTTGATATATAACTGTTATTTATAAATAACATTTGCCATAGAACTGTTATTTAAAAATAACAGTGCGCAGCATTTTTTTACTTACAAAAATAACAGGTAAAATATAAATATCAATGCGCTGATATCAAAGCCACGTGTTTTACCAGGCCCTTACAGTTGTGACTTCCAAAAAATAACAGAGCGATAATGAAGTCGGTATCGCCGGTCCAAGAAATTTTACCTTTGGTTTTGAATTACACCTATCGCTATTATGTTTTGATTTCGAAAGAATAACAGATACCAGCTTTGTGTACAGTTAACAACAGTTTTGTACAGTAACTGTTGTGATTTGCGCATATACTGTTTTTATCATTTTACTTCTTTTGCTGTTATTATTATTGTTGGTGGTTTATAGATGTAAGATAAAGCTTAAATCATAATAATCATATGGCTCATAAATAAATAGAAAAGAATATACAGAAAATGAGGTTATCTGTACATATTAAAAGCTCTAAGCTAGAATCAAAGAGGGCGAATCAATAAATAACAGATATCAGCTGTTTTAAACTGTTATTTCTAAGTGAGAGTAACAGTTCCAACTATTATTTATAAATAACAGTTTTGTCCCTCTTTGACCCTTATAGGTATTTAAAGCTACAACCAAAGAGGGCGAACCAGTTGCTGTCAAAGTCCAATACAACGATCTACGAAAAAGACTGTCCAGTGACGTAATGACGATAAACATCCTACTGACAGTAGGAGCCTGGCTCCATCCAAAGGTCGATTTTTCCTGGATCCTGAACGATTTCGTGGACGCCCTGAAACAGGAACTGGATTTTGTCAACGAGGGAAGAAATGGAGAGAGATGTTCTCGCGATTTAGGGCATCTGAAATACATTGAAGTGCCAAAGATTTTCTGGAAGTACACAAACACGGTATGGAAAATTTAGTAAGTAACATCAAACCGCTCAAAAACGCATATTGTTATTATACAGAGCATCTCATATTATGTTGAGGTGTCATCTGTTAGAGTAAAAGCCAGAAATCAGTGACTGTTTAAAACAGTTACTAGTAAAACATAACATTCACTTATTTGCTAACAAGTAACACTACGCCAGTAGAAATTCAACTAATAACTTTGAAACAAACATTTCTTTGGTTTGTCCCCTCCTCCCACACTAGATCCGGCGCTGGATTCAGTGTCCTTAAAAGTTTTATTTTTTCCATCTTCCACCAATACGCTCCCTATTGTCCAATAGAATGGCTATTACTGGCACCAGAGAGAAACTAATAACTAAAGTGAGAGGGCTTGTCGAATAGGGCATTTCGTAGAAAGTTTATTTTGTCACCGCGCTTCCCAGACGCGCATAGCGTTTAGGCGGCCAAAAAAGGAAGTTTTCAACTTTACAAGTTAAACATTTGACAGGATTAATTAAATTGTCAGTAGCTTTTTCTATTTCTTAGCTCTAGAAGGAGATAACTAAAATCTGTTGATAATCGGAGTAATAAACTGTTTTTGACTGAATGTGCCTGTTCTTTTAGCTTGTCAGAAGAGAAGATTATTGTCATTATTGATTATTTCAGATTCCACGATTATTCGGCATTTTTGTTTTGTGGTTGAGATCCAGACAAAACGTTTCCTTTAAAGGTAAGTTTTATATCGGTAATTATATTTTAACATACCTAATAGTAATAGTGAGTGCACATAATAATCACCTGTTCACTCCCAACCAAGTTAGATAAAAAAGATATTGAAGATTGCAGCCTTGAGTTGGAGTATGGCAAGGAGTATGGAGTTAAATAAATTATTATGTTCCTAAACAGTATTTTATTTATAGGTTTTAATGCTTTAAAGTCTAATAATAAATTTTCGTTGTCAACAAAATAATCTAAAAAAACTACGAAGATTTCTTATTATAAACTTGAAAGATTAAGATTCGGTTTAAATATACAAATTTTAAATTTTTGGCGCCAGTATATAGGTATGAATGCAACCTATTATATCGATAATGCGCTCATAGTTCGGGTTAGACGCCAAAGGCCGCGCCACTAACACAGTCTTCAAAAATTAACGTATGACGTTGATCGGTCTCTCTCACTTTAGTTATTCGTGTTCTCTCTGACTGGCACTTTTAGCAAATGTTACACTCTTTTAGTAATTGTTAGCATTTTCTAGTGATTGTTAACATTTACTGGATTTCCGACTTTAACTGTAACATAATCGGAATCTTTTAGAAAATAAAGTTTAAAAATTAAAAAATATATTTACATTTTGAGAGATGCCGGTTTATCATTGTTTTCTTTATTAAGTACGTGGAAATGTTTTAAAAACAAATTGATTTTGTACCAGGTTTAATGACTGTCATAATATCAATGAACTCGTATAAAAGACTAATACATAATTTCTTTGATAAACCGTTTTTTTTATCTTATTTTCAGAGAGTATTAGTGACGGAATTTACCGAAGGAATTAAAATAAGCGACACAGCTAAACTGAAAGAAAATTGTTTTTCATTGGCTGAAATAAACAATATGCTGTTTGAAGCTTTTGGATATCAGATATTCCATACTGGATTTGTACATGCGGATCCACATCCCGGAAATGGTAATTAAATTAATAATTAACCTACTAATTCATTTCCGTTGCAATGCATTTACATACCGTATGATCGAAAAAAAACAGCGTCCAGTTGGCTTGGAAATGACGATCAATGACATTCCCCATATAATTTTACATAAATATACAGGGTGGTCTGAACTGTATTACGGAAACTTCGTCAGCATATGTTCGAAAATTCTTAGTTTCGGAGATACAGGGTGTAGAAGTTTCATTTTTATTTTGATTATTTCCAAATAATTTCTGAAGTAACGTAAATATTTGGATGAAAATTGGCATCCAAGAGTTTTTTGACATGAGAAATTTGATTTTGATGTCAATATGACTCCTATTTGTAGGGAGCGCCACCTACATGTGTTTAAACTGTTATGAAGAGTAATAACTTTTCATCCGTACCTGTATAAAACTACTGAGTGGAAAAATATACATTTCCATGACTTTTTACGTAAAAAATGTCTCATGGTAAAAATCGCTACGGGCAACCGTTCTCAAGATATTTAGAATCGAAATAGTCAATACATGTCATTATTGACAAAAAATAAACATGTTGAGTAGATAGTTATTTGACTGAAATAATAAATTTGGGAAATTTATATTTTTTTAAATTAATGAAAAATTTTTCTGCAAAAAAATGATGATAAAACTGTTTCTATTCAACTTTTAGCACAAAAACATTTCAAATTTATGATTTCAGTCTAATATCTATTTAATCAACATGTTTAATTTATGTCAATGATGATAGGTATTGATAACTTTGATTCCAAATATCTCGAGAATAGTCGTAACGATTTTTACCAAGAGAAATTTTTTACGTATAAAACGTCGTAAATGTATATTTTTTTACAAAGTGGTTTTATACAGGTACGGACGAAAAGTTCAAAAATAAATAAAACCAGTTAAAAAATATATAGGTGACGCCCTCTACAAGTAGGAGTCATATTGACATCAAAATCAAATTTCTCATGTCAAACAACTTCCAGACACCAATTTTCATCTAAATATTGAACTTACTTCATAAATAATATAAGAAAAAAATCTCGAAATAAAAATAAAACTTCTCACCCTATATCTCCGAAACTAAGCATTTTAGAACATACATTTATACGAAGTTTTTTACTTATTTTTATCTGCGGAATATACTGGCGAAGTTTCCGGAATACAGTTCGGACCACCCTGTATAAAATGACAGCGATCTTTATTTCATAGCCATCGCTGACGCCGTTTTTTTTCGATCATGTTGTATTATATTTATTATTTGAATATTAAATTTATATTGTTGATGCAGTTATGGTAAAAAGAGTAAATGGCAAAACCAAACTAGTCATCTTAGACCACGGTCTATACCAAACAATTTCTGATAAAATCAGGTTAAACCTGAGCTTTATGTGGAGAGCTATCGTTCTAAAGAATCATGGTGATATGAAGAAGTATTCAGAACTTTTGGGAGTCGACGGTAATAGATATATTTGATTCTTCAGAAAAATAAGTAAACATAGAGGTACCCTAAATATATAAATATTATTAGTTTGGTTTGGTATATTCAGTTACTTGTAACATCAGTATACTAAAGTGAAATGAAAAACCAAAAGATAACAGATTGTTAGGAAGAACATTTACCTTACATGTTACTCTTAATTTGCGCATTATACATGATTTATACAAAGCGAGTCGTCATTTATACAAAAAAAGAGCCCATATTTTCAGAGCTGGTACATCTCGATAAAAGAAACATATTTTCTCTTTACTGTTTTCGAATAAGTTTAAAATAGCCGCAATATTTTATTACAGTTGGGGGTTAGAACTTTTAGTGTTACAACAGCAAAATAAAATACTAAATCGTGTTCTAGTGATTACGTAAATTAACGTAAATTAGTGTTATTTTTGCCGGAGATATTTTACTTTCAAATTAAAAAAAAAGATTTTTTCCTTAAATTTTGATAACCACTGAAATTTTCTGTGTTTTTATTTCTTTACATTTAATTTAGTCAGTTTTTTACCTCTGTTGCCATATTAATAAGGGAATAAGCTTTTTAATTGAAAATTTAAAAAAAAATCCAAAAATATTTTCAAAAAATACAAAATTTTCCATTTTTTTGATCGTCAAAAAAAAAGGGATGGGTTTCCTGGTCTCGAAATATTATCATCACCCCTAAAAATATTTGCACCTATTTAAGACTCACCGTGTATATACAAACTACTATTCAATACTCAATACTAACTTGTGTGAAATGTGGCATTGTAAGACTGATCCAAAAACGTGACGGTTGCATCAAAAATATATACCGGGCGCGTCTCAAAAGTGGCTCACCCCTATAACTGTTTTATTTTATCAGATAAAAAACCGAGATTTGATATGTTAGTATATGACATAAATTAGGATTGATTGAGGTATTCAAGTGTTTTTGGTCACTTCCTGTTTCACCGGATCTTTTGATTTTTAAATGGCACCCTCGGTATTTTTTTTATTTTTTACGATAGAAAATGACATTCTGAATAGAATGACATATCATATGTCAACTTTTGACATTTATGCTTAAAACAAACTGGAATTTTAAATTTTAATCTAGAGTGCCATTGTTGCATTAAAAACACTAATTTTAAATCAAGAAGCCTTGGAAAAATAGATTTCATCGTCTAATGTTATTCGTGTCTTGTCCTGGCCGGTTAAAAGATGCCCAAATCGTATTTTTAATCATATCTCAATTTTTTCAAATGGAATGAGGGTGGCTTATTAGCATATTTGGAAAAAGCATTTTTTTACGAATAATTTGATACCACACACTTGGTATTTCGAGTCAAATTGTCGTTACCTATGAATCGGATGTTGCAATTTCAAATAAACCACATTCAAAAATGTCAAAAGTTGACATATGATATGCCATTCTATTCAGAGTGTCATTTCTTATAGAATAAAGCAACAAAACATCGAAGGTGCCCTTTAAAAATCAAAAGTTGTAGTCATTTCCGGTGAAACAGGAAGTGACAAAAAACAATTGAATACGTCAATCAATCCTAATTTATGTCATATACCAAATCTCGATTTTTTATCTGAAAAATTAAAAAAGTTATAGGGGTGAGCCGCTTTTGAGACGCACCCCGGTAAGACTTTGTATCATTGTAGAATGTTTAGGAGGAGGGTTAATCACTGCGACCTTACAGATTTATTGTTTGTTCCTCTTTCTTCAATTATAAGATCTACTTACTCGGGTTATAACGAGTTATAACTCATCATACAGTCTTTGACAAAAGCCAGTATCTGAGAAGGCTCCACAGAGGCCAGCTCTCCGTCTCCGACATCAGCCGTACCAAAGTTGGCACGAACGGTTGTCGTCTCGGCGCACTGAGTGATGAGGTGTTCTGGTGTTTCCCCATTTTCCCCACAGAATCTGCGTTCGCCGTTGTTTCTAAGCTTCAATCTACTGAGGTGTTCATTGAGAAGACAGTGTTCTGTTAGAAATCCCCGTGACAATCCGAAGATTGTTCTTACTTAAATCAAGGAAAATATTTTATTGACTTCTATGCTCTGAACCAACCAGGAAAGGACGCTGGTGGGGGGCAAAAAAATAGTGGACACATTTTTCAGAAATATACAGACGCATTGTGCAATTTTTACATAAAAAAGACTGAGGTTGAGAACACATTTATTTGTGCTAAAGTTATAAAAATAAATATAGCATTTTTTAGTTAAAAATCGGATACAAAACTAAATATTTTAAGAAATATATTGAAAACTATGAATTAATTTTGATGCAAAACTGGCATCTTTTTCTGAGGAATAAATCTTTTTTAAGAATACCTCTTACTTTTTGAACAAAATATTTGCCGAACCCCGTCATACTGTTTTGTAATAACCATCATTTTAAAAAGGTCGAGATAATTGTGTTATTTTCTGTATGTATTTGTTTACAGCATTGACCACTGTAAAAATAATCTTTCTGTATGAACATTAGTCCCCGGAAGACAAACAAAATTCAATAACTTTTTGTATGGTAAAGTAGGAAATATCTTCCAAAGAAAAATGCTGAAAACCCTACACCCATTTTATGTCTATTTTAGTATAATTTTCATTTTAATTCCACTTGTTATCTTTTTCTAAGGTAACATAATTTTAAATTGGTTGAATTCAATTGACAGACAATGTTAAATTACGGACTTTTGACGATCAAATCTTGTTGACGAACTTCGTTTCTGAACAACGGACTGTCCCTATCATAATAACGGACGTCTGCTCACCTTAATAAAAAAAATAACTCTATGTTTACTTATTTCTCTGAGACTTATTCCATCAGTTTTTATAAACTAAACCACAATTTACTATACAGATTACACCATGCTTGCTGAAATTCTAACACAAACTCCCCTAAGAACCACCGGTTTTACACTGAAAGCAAAACTGACAGAGGCCGAAGAAAAACGTATGAAGCAAGTGGCAGGAGAAAGATTTGATCAAATCGTATTGTGTTTAAGACAAATGCCAAGGACTTTACTTCTAGTTGTTCGGTACCTAATGATTGAATACTTCTAATAATTATAGACAAGAAATCAATTGATTTCACTTTCAGAAATTTGAATACAATAAGAGCAATCTCGTACGACCATGGATGTCCTATAGATCGTTTTACTGTACTGGCGCGAATGGCAACTAAAGCAGCTTTTAACAGCGAAACCAGGAGTAGATTTAGAAGACTGAAGGCCGTTCCGTCGAAGTTTTGGTTTGAATTTATGTTACTGTAAGCATATAATTTGAAATCTTGAAAGATTGATTGATACCCCACGATATGCATACAATTACATTGCGTCGATTTACGTCATATGTTAGATAGACTATTATCTATGATGTCATTTTTTTGTTTGCTAGTTTAATTTTTGGACAATTATAGGCCTAGGCGGCAGTCCAAATACATTAGCCGCCAATACACGCAAGAGATTTTTTAGATCAGTCCCGCAGTCCAGGTATCTCATTATGTCATTCCATATCCGCCGACCGTTCAGAGTACAGATATTTTGGTATTCACAAACGCGCATATCTGATGTTTTATATGCGATTTTCATTGCATTAACCTCGCAGTTAATGGCAACATTTTTTGACTTGTGGCCGAATTCACATTGAGATCCGATATTTTAAAGAAGTTTAAAACATCGTGGTAAAGTATACCCTGCTGGTCATCCAAACTATGTGGTCTGGCTAACTTTCATGTACATATACTACTGAAATGAAGATAATATATCTAAGCTAAATATAATCTATTACAACTGTAGAAAAATGAGTAACTATATTAATAGTGAAAAATAAAGTTCCAACTCTAGATGCAAGATTTTTCGTAAACGCCTACTTGTGCGGTTTGAAATGTTGATGCAAAATCCGGCAATAACACATAGAAGAAATGTACTTATCGACCCAAATTTTATCTCTTTTTAATACATTTCATTTTCAATTAAACTGTCTTACACTTATCGGTACCTATGTAAAAACAAACATGAATAAAATTAAAACGTATCCGATATTTCTCCGTGGTAGTCCACTAACCTGCAGATATTAATGAAAGGTATGAAATGCGGCGGAACAAATCTTTCAACAATTGCTTGAGTGTATGGACGGCTATATTTTAAACAGTATTACATTATAATTTATTTGTTCTACCAATATCTCCCGTTAGATAGCAGATAGAGAGTTGCGGTTTGCGCGGTTGCGAACTTTTTCGAAATGTTGTGCTTTACCTCGTCACGTGCATATTTTTCAGTATGACCGACTAGAATTCCGGTTTATTAGTGACATTCATTACATTTTGACATTAACATGTCAAAATAGAAAATAGGAAACGCTCATTAAGCTCAATTTTCATGCATCCGTTATCCAGTTATACAATGTTAATTTTATTGGTTGAATTTAAAGATTTCGATTAGTTAGAAAATTCCGTCCGATAAGTTAGAAAATTATGCAGTTTTTAAATTTATTTTTCATTTTCATGCCTTCGTTTATCGGATATAAGTTGGTGTCATTTTATATTTTCATTTCCATAACGATTTCGTTGTTTTATTTTAAACTAAATTTGTCAAAAAAGAGTCAAAACGTCCGTTATCGTACGAAAGGTAAATGTATTTTAAGTTTCTCCGATGCATGAAAATCAAGCTTTAATCTGTTGGTTTTGATTTTCGTTGAGTCCTATTTGTTATTAGAAAATTATTTCTAATAAAAATAAGTAGGATAATGCAGTGGTAAACAATACACCAAAACACTTTATTTTTAGCGCTGGACCCGCGTTTCGCTAACCATTAGCAGATAATTAAAAACTAAGTATCTGCTGATCCTAACATGGTTAGCTAAACGTCCGTCCAGTGTAAAAAGTAAAGCGTTTTGGTAAATCGTTGTAATTTAGTATTGTATTTTTCAATTTTCATGCTAATTATATATTCAATTTTAGAATGAACAAAATATTAAACTTTTGGAGGTTACTGATACTGGACACATTGTACAAACTTGGTTTGACACAAAACATCAGGGCTATCATGGAAGAAACAAGTAAAAACTTGTAAGAAAAAAAGATATATTTTTTATAAAAATGTGCTTGCTCAATTAATTGGGTGAGGAGTGATTGTAAATGCCAAAAATGATCATGTAAATACTGAAATATAAAAATATCGTGGATTTAAATTTGATTTATTTACCTGCAATAAATACAATTCCTAACAATCTGTATTAAGTTAAATTCCATACTCTATTTCGACCGTTTAAGGTGCCCACTCTCCTGGTTCTTCTCCGTTATTTTTTACCGACGGTTAAAAACGTTTGAGTAAAAATGGCACAAACAGGAAGTGTATGGGTAAAATCGCCGTTTTTGCACGTCATCGTTTTAAAATTTCAACCGGGTGTCGATTTATATTGGGTTATACACTTACCTTTCTACACCTAAGGAAATGGCCGTTAAAGTTATACCATGACTGAATCAAGAATACAAGGCTTGTGAAGCATTTCTGATGAAGTACAGCGAAGAAAGTGACAATAGTAAAATCAGTAAATCATAAATTGATTCCCAATGTTTTTCTTTTTTTGCGATTTTTTCCACTGTCAAAACAGCTGTGTACCACTGGTAACACTTACAGCAAACTGTAATAAACATTGCAAAACAAAAATGTTGTGTATGGACTAATCAGTCAACGTTCTTCCTTACAACGTTTTTAACCGTCGCATCGGTTAAAAAACGGCAGAAAACAAGGAGGCGAGTGGGGCCCTTTCCGGAATAATAATTATCAAAAAGTATATTTTCGATAAAATGTAAAATGTTATATAATAAAGGACGTTGGTTCTTTAACAAATATAAACACACGATAATAAAAGTGCAGCGGATATAATACCAATCATATTTATAAATATTGCATAAACTTTGACTAAGGATTAAGCTGTTTTGGCTCTCATCGCGGCTCGTTTTGATGTTACAGCCTGCAAAAAAATCCAAACGTTATAAATAAATTGTAAACAAAACAATTATATACAGTATGTGCCAAAAAGTTCATAACAAATGGGAAATTTTATAATGATTTTATAATTTCTTTAGCACATCCAATAATAAATAGCCATTTTGACATATGTCATAACAGCTGTCATGGCACAAATACAAAAATCTTCTATTCATATGCAAAAAGTGAGGTTAGGTATCAAAATATAGAAAAAGGCACATATACAGAGTGTTTAAAAAAATGCTCTTTGATTCGGCTTTGCTTCGTAGCTACAGGGTGTTAAAGTCTTAATAATCTTTCGATTTATTTATTATCGATTTATTTTTTTATACTTTTGATTATAGTACTTTTAGTGATGCGAATGAAATTTTGAAGGTAAAAGTTAGTGTAAGTATTTTAATGCTAAAAATATGTCGATAAATTCATCAGGGACGTGCATATGGGTTATCACTGGAATATTTTTCAAAAAAAACATTGCGCCACTGACTTTTTTCTTTTCATATCAAATTGTGTAGTTCGTTTAATGCCAATTAAAAGTTATCTCTTGATATTTTGTCGAATTCAGCTTCCGTGATGAGATAAACGAAATTTTATTAATCACAATTATTAAAATTAACAGCTTGATGAAGTTAGAATCGACACGCGCGCTATCATTTTTACATTAAAAACGTAAATTTTTACCGCAGACGTAGGTTTTTAAAGGCCCAGTCTAATCATCTGCCTGCGCTCCTCCTACTTTTTCTAAAATGTTAGCGTGATTGTCAAAGACGATACTGTATCGCGTTTCTTTGATTGATTCGTTTTTGTGCGTCAGTCCATTGGTGTGCTTGCAGTGCGACCAATGGGGTATTCCAGTTTATATTTATAACCAAATCTATGTTTTGACAAGACTCTGACAGTTAAAACACCACGGCACTGGAATTAAGTTTTATGTTGCCTTGAACAGATTAGTTCACATGGTAGCGACCGATGAATCACTCCCAAACATTCGTGGCGTTTACTATATATATTTTACCTAATTTATTATTAAATATTATTACTATTAGTTATTATTACTGTTAGTTCAACCTACAGCAATTTCAAATAAAAAAATACTGGTATTTAAGATAATTGCAAAAAACCTAATATTAAAAAGTTTTAACATCCTGTAACTAAAACTATGCATTTCCATACCCATGTTTATAGGAACTTTATTTCATATTTTTTTGATGAGGAATCAATGAGTACTTATTTAAAACTTTTGCAAGTTAATGATATTAATTTTTTTTTAAAGATTGTTAGTAGACTTGGATCAAGGCAAATTAATAAAATTGCGTTTATCTCATCAAGGAGACTGAAATCGACAAACTATCAAGAGACTTTTAATCGGGATTAACGGGTTACACTATTTCTCTAACAAGAGAAAAGTCAGTGGCGTACATGCTTTTTTTTAGAAAAATATTCCAGTGATAACCCATATGCACGTCCCTGGTGAATATGTCGACACTTTTTAGCTCTAAAATATATCAAATTTATCGTAACTTTTACCTTCAAAATAACATTCGCTAAAGTACTTGGAAGAAAATTATAATAAATCGAAAAATGATGAAGACTTTAACCCCCTGTACCTACGAAACAAAGCAGAATCGGATTTATGTATGTTGATAATAAATCTTATGTTTACGTGAGGAATCTCCCGATGCGAGGTGTTTCAAAGCCACACTGTCTCTCTACGAGAGATGACACATGTTTTTTGAAACACCCTGTATAATACATAAAAGAATATACTACGGCCTTCCCAAATAAGCAATAAGAGGATTTATATTCCCGTACTAAGGGAGAGAAAATCGAGTTTTATTTTATTTGTTTTGGAACATAAGTTCGTCCTTGTTTAGGAGATGGAAGTAATACGGTTGCGCCAAAATGCTATTTTCCTATTAGTCGAATGGCGTCGAGGTGGGTTATCGATTGATTTTTGATGGGTTACCCCCATATATATATATTAACTAAAGAATATCGACTCCAAACTGCATTCTGTGAAGCCAAGCCGGTGAAATGGATATATAAAGTAGGATTTATAAACTCACAGTTGGATTTGGCTTTGGCGTTGGCGCCGCCGCCCAATTCTTAAAACTGTATATTACCATAAGAGCATTTATAAACACGGTTGGCGTTGGCTTTGGCGCCCGGTTGCCGTTGGACTTGAATTATGTTTAACTTTTTACCGTTCGAAGCGGTTCGCCGTCCGTAGCACCACGTAGCAAATGACGTTACAGCCAATAGAATAGTAAAGAGCGATCACGTGATGCTTTGTTTACATCTAGTTTTGAAGTATGGGAATTCCAAATTTATGGTCACTCCCAATAACCCTAATAGGGTAATTTCATCAAGACCATTACTTTCCAAATCCATAATTAAGAATCTCGAACAAAAAACCAAAACTTTAAACACTTTCGTCTCTAAAAACGCACTATAGACTCTGCTACTCTCAAGTCAAAAGTAAACAAAAATGTAAGGTTAGATCTGTCCAAAACGGCCAAAGCCAACTGTCAACCGTCGAGTTTATAAATGCGATTTTGCGGCGCTACGAACGGTCGACGGCAAATCCAACGCCAACGCCAAATCCAAAGCCAACTGTAGAGTTTATAAATCGACCTTAAATCTTCTGAAGGAATTTGCATAAGTCGCTCAGTTAGCTGTGCTCAAGCGTTGTTCGCAAGCCTGGATTTTGAATTATCGATCGGATATCCAGACCAATAAGAGACTAGACGCTAGCACCAGCTGTTCATTCGTCCAGTTCCGTCCAACTTCGTACGGCTTTCGTTTGCGTTCCCGTTCGACAATTGGCTAAAGCTTGTTTCATATAGACGCAAATCGCGAATTGCGAAAAGCGATTCGCCAAAAAATATTCGCAAAATTTGGACCTATTTCATACAGTCGCGAATTTTTAGGGACATTTCATTTTTGCTCCACTGAAAGTTACAAAAAAAATCATAACCTGAGATAACTTAATTTGTTTTATACATATTTATTCGTGTTTACGATCTTTATTTTATATTTTATAGCATACAATATGAGTTTAAATTTGTTTAATAATTATGAATATCGATTACGATTGTGGGATTGGAATAGAATAAGGTGCAAAATTGCCATTTACTTATTGTTAAAACGTAGAAGAGAACTTAGGAAGGTTTATAGCACAGGTTTATAGGTCATTTATGGGTCATTTAGTTTGGACATTTGAAATATTCAAATTTCGTAAGCAACAAGGTGCTTGTCACAATTTAATTCAAGGAATAAGGAAAAAAAATGAGAAAAATTTTAGGAATTTTCACAGATTGTCTGTACAGGAGTTTGATAACTCGGTTGAAGTTGAAAAATTGTCACAATATATATCTAAAACATATTATGCACGAGAACCCATTTCAACTGGAGAAATAATGCTTTCAGTTACTTTGCGGCAGCGTCGTCAAAATAATCGATAACCGGATCACAATACCATTCTGCGCAAACGCGAACCTTAAAATCGCGCGAATATTCGCAAAAAGTTGAAAACACTTTAACTTTCCCGCCCCCAAAATTTTAAATCTTGCGAATCGCCAAAATCTTAAAATTTCTGACAGCGCCGCCATGATAAGTAAAATTGGACCAAGAGTCTACGTGAACAAAACTTAATCCTGGCTAACTGATTTTCGGAATTTTGGAGTTGCGCTACTGCGCCAGTATCTGCCTAACAGACGAACTTATGTGAAATATACATGGACCGATTATCTAGTTGTCCCTAACTCGGCTTCAACTCCAACACATTGCAGGGACAGGCGATAATCCGTATATATTTGATATGTATATGGTTACCCCTCTATATCTCTGTTTCTAACGTGTTAACCTCAATTTAAAACATATAATTTTGAAATGGCCAAACAAAGTGCTCACAGCTTTGAAAAGTGCTGAAAACTTTTGACAACCCAAGGATAGACAAAATACTATGTGGAAAATGCATTTATACTCTACATCTATTCTTTAGTATTGAGAAAAGAATTTATATAGTACAGATATGCTGATATGCTGAAGAAATCCCACGTAACTTTATTTCAAGAACTTAAAAAAATCCCATTTGTTGCAAACTTCTTACCCATCCTGTCATCAAATTAAAGAAAATTCTACATACCTGGAAACCAGATTTTATACTAGCTACAGAACACCTAGACCCGCAGGTTTCACACTGTAAAAAGAACAACCTTGTATCCTTTTGTAAAATTGTATCTGGTGACCTACACGTATGACAAGTTACATATTCTTTTATGTATCTGAAACAGACAAAAATACTGGCGTAAATATCTACAGGCACCAATTTAAAAAAAAATAACTATATAGAAATCACTAAAAATTGGAGTGCACGCCATCAAAGACATCGAAAGTATTACCAATTACTAATAAATATGAATTCGTTTCAAGCTTAAGGTACGCGCACACTGACCAGAGCCGCACGCGCCGCATCGACCGAAGAGAAATATTGTTTGTGTTACTTTCAATGAAGGTGCGCACACTAGCCAGAGCCGCACGAATCGCATCGACGAAAATGCGGCCAGCATTGTTGGCCCAGAATGATTTTCGGTAAATGCGGCTAGTGTTGCTGACGTCACACGCAATTCCTTTCACTCTACGTAGGTAGTCGAAAAGGAGATTCAATATGTTAAGAAAATTCGCGAATTTTTCATGGCTCATATTGAAATATTGAAAAATTATTAGTTCATCCTCAATTAAATATGGAAATAATGTGGATTTTTGCAAATAATGTGAACCTAGCAAGGAGCTCATAATTATTTCGTGTTCGTGGACATTCATTGTCGAGAAATATTAAAAACACGCTTATCGCCGCAGACAGGACTCCGGAAGCGACTGATGAGAAATTCGATTGGCGTGGGGAGTGTAGTAGGGACAAAAATACGGGTGTAGTAGGGACAAAAAGAAACAAAATAGTGAATAATGCGGCGTGTTCGGTACGGGTCAGTGTGCGCGACAAGAAAAAAAAGTGCGATTCGTGCGGCTCTGGTCAGTGTACCTTTAAAGTCCAATTTTTTCTTTTTCTTATAATTTTATATCATGGTTAAAAAGAGAGCACGCCGCCGCATCAAGTAAATGAATTGGCCATTAAAAAAGGTTTTATGTTGATAGTCATGACAAATGTTGCCAGTTATGAGATTTTACTTTGCAAATCTGACATTTGTCATTAGACGCCCATGCACGCAAGGGATTTTTAACCGATCGGTCCCGCAGTCCAGATATGACATCCCGTATCCGGCGACCCGGTCGTTCAGAGTACAGATATTTTGGTATTCACAAACGCGCATATCTGATCTTTCATCAGGTTAGAACTCACAATAATCGGGACTGCCACTTATCCGTTAGTTCTCCGTGGGAGTCCACTAACGCACAGATATTAATGAGAGGTAAAGACCGCGGCGGGACAAATCTTTTAAAAATCCCTTGCGTGTATGGGCGGCTATTCTCAATTTTATTCAGAGTCTTGGTATATTCTTTGTGCTTTTCTTTGACAGATTTGAAATTAAATCTGCGTTTCTTTTAGTTAAAACTGCGATCTTCACTGCAATAAAAAACCAAAACCACCAAATAGTCGGAATCAGCAAATTGTCTTGTCTCTACACAATTACTTAGAACAGGAAAGAGATCATGGCAAGCCCCAAGGAAAGAGATCATAGCAATTTGCTGTTAAACTGCGTTAGAGATGTAAAAATTAATATTGTTGCATACGTTTTGTGACTTTTATTGAAAATACATAGATCTTTTAGACTGTTTCAGCTGCGTTCAGTATCAGTTTACAGAATATCAGTGACTAGAATCTGAAAAAGTGAAGACTAATGTTAACTAATTAGAACTTTAATTCGTGAAACTCTCAGAATAACTTCTTTGCATTAGAATTTGGCGTAATATTCATAGAGAAAGTAAATAAAGTAGTTTTACGAATTTTTTGACACCTGCCAGAAGTCCAAGTAAAAAAAGTAACCGTGGCAACATTGCGACATGCATTCGTCAAATATTTTGATGATGTGCACGCCAACTTTTATTGATTTTCCTATACATACCTTCTTAATACATTCTCAATCTGTTTTTGTTGAAATCTACCCTTGATAATGAGCTGACTGTTGCCATCAACAGAACCACTAGTACCTAACTCAGCTAGTAAAAAATCTAATAAATGTTTCGGCTGCCTGTGCAGCATTTTACATATCTCTGTGAAGTTGGCAAATGATGTTTTCTTTGCGCCTATTTTAACAACCTACAAAAACATAAAATACAACAATTCTGTTATGTAACAGGTAAAAAATTTATGTATTTTACCTGTGGCGGTCTCATAACAAACTTCTGTTTCTTTCCAGCAGCCATGTCTGGGTTTTTATCTCTCATAATCTCGAAAGCTCTATTGAGAAGTTCTTCGTATGTGTAATCACGGTCAGATCCGCTCCATGTTATGGCGTTATCATCCACTAAAACGATTAAGGGATTTAAACTTAGGTTTAAAATATTATTCTATCTATTTATACAACATGTTACTTGGTGACATGCTAATATTTAAGGGGCGATTCTTGGACCTATTCTCAGGGCCGTATTTAGGGGGGTGCTAGTGGCTAGTGATACTTACTAATAGCACCCGGCGGCAAATTTTGAGAGGCGGTGTTAAAAAAAATAAAACAAATATTTCGCCTCTTTGACGATGCGTTAGCAAAGCAGACTGAAATTTTGGTTCCTATATTGTACCTATACTTTAAACATATTTATTTAAATCTTGAAAAAGTGCAAGATTAAAACATATATTTTTAACTGACAAATCGGCTACTATGCGCTTACTAGAATTATTAAAAAAAGTGTCTTTGAAGGCTTGCTCGCCCGCCGACAAAAAACAATTATTCAGCACCTTCAATAACGCCGCCGCCCGTCGTCGGCGTCGAAATATGCCGAATAACAAAAAAGGCCGTTTGTAAGTAAGTTGCGAAAAGAAATAGAAATTAGAAATTATTTTATAGTCATTGGGTTTGGGGTGATGGTGAAGTTAACATCTTGCGAAATAATAATAATTATAAATATTACGTTTAGCAGTTTATATAGCTGAATAAATACTAGATATTTTGTGTGTGCATTACAATACAATGGGAAAAAAAGAGGGCGGAGCATTTTGAAAACGCCGAAAAATTTAAAAAGAAACCAAACTAAATAAAAGAAAACCAAAAAAGACACCAAAACTCCACACTTTTTTTCAAGAAAAGTCCTTACAGGAAGGTAAGTTTACGATTATAATCAAAGTAGAATTTTTGTTATGTTTCTTTTTATAAACAAATATTAGCCGTTTTATAACGTACTTCGTACTTTCTTTAAATTTCTACCGATTTATAGGTTCAATGTTCAATGTTGACAAAATCGTCTTTTTTTCAGAGCCAAGCACATCTTTCAAAGACACTAATAATTTGCCTGAGTCTGATATGGGGGAAATTACCGTATCGGTACTATCGGTAACTGAAAGGGATGAGTCTCCTATTTTTAACGCAGAATTGGCCGAATTTGAAAGATTGGTTATTAAGCCAGGCTGCGGTAAATTTTGCCTATTGCAAACCATTCCGTGTCAAATGCGAAAAATTTGATGCATTTATTGCATTCCAATAATATTGTTTCAACGTTTCCAAACGTCGAAATCATTTTAAGAATTTTCTTGACCCTTATGGTGACAAATGCAAGCGATGAAAGGTCATTCTCTACTCCAAAAAGAGTTAAAACATATTTAAGGAACTCGCTTTCACAAGAAAGGCTTACGCTCTTTCTGTATTATAGATAAATTCCGGCTTATTGAAATCTTTGGATTTTAGTGATATATTAGACAAATTTGCCGATACTAAATCGCGAAAAGTAATATTTAAGTAAAGTAAAGTAGTTTTAGGTTTATATGTATATTATTTTTATATTTTATGTGTAAAAATATTAAATATTTTAGGTTTAATAGTTACCACAGTTTGTTATACTTATTACTTACTGTAAAATCAAGTTGTACGTGTTTTACACTTTTAATAAATTTAAGGTTTTAACTTTTTTGTTTAATCTTTTTTTTCGTATGCTTATGGTGTGTATGGTAATAATGGAAAATTATGACGATTAGGGCGTGGCATCTCAATTTTTTTACGTCACTAAACGAGGCGTTGTTTAAAATTAGCACCCGGCGGTAGCTAAGGTAAATCCGGCACTGCCTATTCTAAGAAAAAAACTATATACGTATGTCCTAAACATCTTAATTTTTGACATAGAGGGTTGTTATTTATTCTTAATAACTCTAAACTCTATTATTATTATAGATATATTTATAAAATTTTATACACATCCAAAATGCATTTTCCGATGTACAAATCAAATTTTGTTGTATCTCTTAATTTCCTTCCAGTCAACGTAGGAACGATTTTCACACAACAGTCACCGCATCATGTTTTTAGTGATTTGACCCTGAAGTAAAACGAGTTTTAACTTTTTCAAGCAAAAACCAAGCGTTAGACAAAAAAAATCAAGAGATAAAAATTGTTATAAGTGAATGAAGATTTCGAAAATAATGTTTATTTTAAGGGAAGGCAGTGGCGTATCTTCAAAAATATTCAATATAAAACCCGTACAGACGCCACCGGTTAAAATAACTAACATCGTACATCAAAAAAGGCTTTTTTGATCGGGGTTCAGGGGATATACAGGGTGCTACAAATTCGAGGTACGAGAACGTAGTTCAAGAAATTGTTAAAATTTCATTTAAAACGTTCAAAAAAATTTTTTTGAACTACCCCGACCTCAAGCCAAGAAACCTACCAGAAAAAAAATATGTTATCTAAGGTCGAAGAAAACTGTACTCAAAAAAAAGATATTTATAGCTTGATATACAGGGTGTTTCCTAAGTACTCTAAAAAGTGTGGGATTCCTTATATGTTTTTAAGAAAAAAAGTTTATATGAACATGAGGCCTAAAGTAGTACTTCCTTTCTGATCTACAGCGTGTTAAAAATTAAAAAAAATAGAATTTCTTGAAATATCTTGAAAACTATTGTAAATACTTTTCTTGCCATTATCTGACGTTTTTCTATTTGAACCAGTGGCGTCCATACGCATACACCTCTGGACTTATTTGATTAAAATAAATGGTACGCCACTGCTTTGTTTCTTCTTGATTGTCCATCCTTTTTAAACAAGATTGATCTTTTAGTTTTTTTTGTACATCAAACGGTTTTTGAGAAAGAAAAAATTAAATCAACTAGAAGCCCACCTTGACATTCATGTATGTTAGTTTTCTAGCGATTTTGGGATATGCAATGTAGTTTATATTTTTTTTGTCGAAAATCGTTGATGTACAAGAAAAAATATCAATTTTGTTAAAGAAGTATCGACAATCAAGAAAAAAAAAACGATTCCTCAAAAAAATCAATGGCGTTCTATATATTTTAAGCAAGAAATTCATTTTTTTAAATTTTTAACACCCTGTACATCAAAAAGGAAGTACTTTAGACCCCACGGTCATATATACTTTTCATCTTAAAAACATATGAGGAATCACACCTTAGAATTTTTAGACTACTCAGGAAACACCCTGTATATCCAATACAGGGTGAGTCTTAAATAAGTGCAAATATTTTCAGGGGTTTGGTTTGTTGGGGTATATTTCGACCCCAGGAACACGTCTATGAGGTTTTTTTGCGCAAAAAGATATGTTGAAAATCGTGCATTTTCTTTTAAATTTCCCTGTCAGTATATTTTTCCAAAACTTTTTAGAACTGTCTGTTCACCGCAAATTTTCCCACGGTATAACTTCTTAATCTCTGATATTACCATAGTTACAGCTTTACTCTATGGTTAGAGCACTAAAAGGGATGCAAATACAGAAAAAATCCGGTGGCTCTCAAATTTTTGTCAAAAAAAAATATTTTTCTTAAATTTTCAAACTTAAATAACTCGGTTATTTTGGACTTATCTGAAAAATGGTAAAGAGAAATTATGTTTCTTTTATCGAGATCTATCAGCCCTGAAAATATTTGCACTTATTTAAGACTCACCCTGTATATTCAATGTCCATTTATTAAATTAAATATGTTTTCCTGGGGAACCAGCCACATCTGACATACGCGGCGGTTTATGGGCATCGCTGCACAGCGGCTGTGCAGCCAGCTTCCGCTCCTTAATGGGACTTCAATGTTACAAAACACACGGTATCGTAGACGTCAGCAAGTTGTACCCTAACCTGTGCAAGCAGTTAGGATGAAAGTCGCGAAGTTATAAACCGCCTCCTGTGTTTTGGCTCTTAGTATCACTGACAGTAATAACATTATTATTATTAATAATTCATCAGATAAGAGAGGATATATGCCAATATCAATGTTAATAAAATAACAAAATATTCTGTATATTTTTTAAATATTTTAATACATATAATTAATAATGTTAAAATAAAGATGTTTAGAATGTTTCTGTTAAAATATAATTTATACATAAACCAGTTTCTTTTTAACCAAATAAATATAAAAATTTGAACAGTTTTACCACTGTGTATCTCAAAAGTTAAGATGTTTAGGACATACATTCGTTTGATTTTTTTTTCTAAGAATAGATCCAAGAAACACCCATTTAAATATTAGCATGACACAAGGAACACCCTGTATTTTGTTACTATGCCATTTCAATTATTTTACCTGGCTCTACTATTCTTTCCACCAAATTGCAGCATATTTAAGAAAACAAAAACTATTATTTTTACATTCACATAACAATTTTATTTAAGGCAAAAGTTATGTTGGTATAATGTTCTTAGTACTTACCATTTTCTTTATCTTCTGCTTTATCATCTACCTCTGCCATAATTTCATCGAGATCCTTCTTTTTACTCTTCTTCTTTTTCTTGAGTTTATTAAAATCTAGATCAAAATTATCATCGATAATTTCTTCATCTTGATTTGTACCCTCCAGGCCAGAAGTCTCATCTTTCACATCGTTCAAAGCTGCTTCCAAATCGTCAGTGCTAAAAATTAAAATGAAAAATCAAACACTTCTTTTGTTTAGCATGAATTTTGTGTATACCTAAAAGGCTTCTTCTTTTTCTTCTTTTTTTGTTTAGTAAAATCAAGATCAATGTCGGCATTAGCATCATCATTCTCATCATTTGCAACTAAGGCATCATTTTCTCCTGATAATGTATTTCCATCAAGCGAATCATTTCCTTTTAAAATTATTAAATATTAATTACATATTTAAATAAATACTGATAGATATTCTTACCCTCAGCTAAAGCTGCATCAATATCAAAGGTAGCCTTCTTCTTTTTCTTTTTTTTCTTGAGAGTTGGATCAAAAATCTAGAAAATACAATTGGATACAGCATTTCTGTTAACACCTCTACACAGAAATCAAGTTAAAGAATTGAAATACACGTATGTTTGTATAATATATTAAACAAATACTTAGAGCAGATTTTAAAACAAATCATCAAAATATATCCACGTTTTATTAGCGTTTGGAATAACCTAAAAGAAATTGAATATTAGACTACTTACTGTTTCATCTTCTGCCATTTCTAACAAATCCAAGAAACACTTTCAAAAGAAAATATTAATAAACCCGTTTTTCGATTGCAAATTACTCAAATATTGGAAAAAAAGTATTTACTTCTATTGCATCAGCTTTCCAAATTTTCAGACTTTGACAGAATCCGGATTCCGAAACGTCAACAACCGCATGTCAAAACGTCAAAAATAGGGCTGTGTTGTCAAAACTTTCAATGAACGCAGAAAAATGAAGGTAATTATTTATATATGATGAATATGATTTCACAATCATGGAATATTTTTTAATATAATTAAACAATCTACTGCAATAATCTGAATTAACACATACATAGCGTCAAATGTATTATACTTAACAATTAAAGGAAAAATAATGTATCCATAATTTTTGAAAAGTACACATGTTAACTCAGAAAAATAAACTGCTCAGAAAAAGAACTACAGGAATGGCAGGAAGTAATTTGACACTTGACAGCAGCTTGACAGTCTGATATTAATCTATTTATTGTGTCAATATGTTACAATTAGTTGTTTTCTGTTTTTATATTTATTTTTAAGATTATATTGAATAAGTTCTAACAAAACATATCAAACGTTCTTTAATGTGTTTTTGTGTAGTATGTTTACTTCATTAATATTCTTAATTAATTTAAACAGTGTTAACAAGTTAATGTTCCTATAGTTAAAAAAACTTCCTTGTTAAAGAAAATCAAATTTGGTAAGTCTTCGATAAGAAATGCTTATTGCTCTACTTTATTCAGTTATAAAATTGTAAAAAACTATTAAGTAATTAGAGAACTAATTACGTTTATTCATTTAAAAAAAAACATAAAATTTATAATTTTTAAATTTCTATTTTTTCTATAGTTTAATTCATAATATAAATTTTCGAATCAACTATTTGTTATATTAACAGCCAATTTAACTACTTATTTATTTTTATTGTTTTCTTTCTGAAAAGTGCATAAACCAATCTAAACAATTAAAATGTATTGCTTCAATGATAAAATTGATGGAATTGGAATTAGATAATACCGCACTAATTTGTTAGTGTTATCTCCACCAGATGTTACATGTTTAATAGCTAAAATAGCTGTATAGGTAGATGCATTATAGGTGATAATATACAAAAAGGAATTGTTATTTTAATACTAAAGTGGATGATATAGTAGATAAGTTTATTTAACATTATTAATGTAGGATCAATAATATGTGACAATTTATGAAAAAACCATACTGAAAGCACTGAAAATTGGCCAATATGTCTCTGAAAAATAAGATCTCTAGAAAGTGGTCGTATAATTTTAACATTAAAAATAATACTAAGTCTAATAGTTATCAAGGTATTTTAACTTGTTTTAATATGTAGATATTGAATTGTATACTAAAACTCATATCTTATATTACAGTATACAAGATGTTTCAACAATTACATAATGGAGCTGGTTACATACCTGAAATGGAGCAGATTATTAGCCAGTTGGAACGAGGCACATTGGTGACAAAATTTTTGTTTAGAAAAAGGCCAGAAAGTAAGACTTTGGCCATAAGAAGGGAAACGAGGCAGCTAATTTGGACTAGGACTACGTCAAACATATCAAGGTCTAATTTTGAAGGTATATATGTAATTATATAATTTATATAATTAATTTCCAAATTATTATTTATTAACTAAATGAAGACTTGAAGTAAATTATGTTGCAAGTGCCAAAAACTCGGTTTGTCATGTTTTAATTGTAAAATGTCCTAAGTTCCATAACCAACAACATATTATAAAGGGCTAAGTGCCATGGTTATTAATTGTATTGACAAAAATTCTCAACAGAGACACCGCCCCTTCTTATACATTGGTTATGTAACAAAAAACTTTGTTTATCTGTGGCACTTAGAACATTATTTACTTCATGTCTTCAAATTATCATCTTACATAGACAGTCTTTCATCTTAGCCCCATCTAGACATAACTTTCTACCTGTCAATCATGTCAGTTAAAAAGGTCAGGTAAAACAGATTAAAGACTAGTGAACATACTGGAAGTTTTACTTACAGTTTTAGATCAGTTTTTAGTCAAGACCATGGAGGAGGCACTGCTTTTATCAATTATAGCATTGTGTTTAGTGCAGTTGAAAAGAAAAAACATAGAATTTTGCTACAAAATTGTATTCTTATGGTTAAAATTTAAATTGTAAATATACAAAGCTATTTGTGAAATAGTATTGTTTGGTAATAATTATTCAATATCTCTAAACAACTTTGTACAATTACATTATTTTCTGAAACTATGTCAAAATATTAGATTTTTAAAAGTCGCTTATTAAAAATATTAAAAATGCTGTAATACAACTAGATTTGCCAGATTGTATATAAAGCAAGCAGCAACAACAAAAATAAAAAAATTGGTCAAGTGCGAGTCGAACTCGCGCACGAAGGGTTCCGTACCATTCATTATCTATACAACATTAGACACTATATTATTATAAACTTTTTTTCCGATTTAGCTGAAATTTTGAAAGTGCGTATAAGTAATTTAAAAAAAATGAAGAAACACATTACTAAAAATTGTATTAATCAATAATAAATATGTAAAAAGTAAAAATAAATATGTAAAAATTAAAAAAAAAGATTAAAAAAAAGTCGCCTTGACTAGGATTCGAACTTGCCTTACTACGGCTCCAACGTCATAGCAGCGTAAAGTCCTAACGCTTTAACCACGCGGCTACCGAGGACTTGAAAGATTCTATGTAAAATTATTACTTATTTTTTCAGATAAAAAACAAAATTTGGTATATTAGTATATGACATAAATTAGGATTGATTGAAGTATTCAATTGTTTTTGGTCACTTCCTGTTTCACTGGAACACCGGAACTATAACTTTTGATTTTTAAATGACACCCTCGGTGTTTTTTTACTTTATTTGATAGAAAATGACACTCTGAGAATGACATATCATATGTCAACTTTTGACATTTTTGCATATGGTTTATTTGAAATTGTAACATGCCGTTTATAACGACAATTTGACTCTAAATACCAAGTGTGTGGTACCAAATTATTCGTAAAAGAATACATTTTCCAAATATTCTAATGAGCCACCCTTGTTCCGTTTGAAAAAATTGAGATATGACTAAAAATACGACTTGGGGCATATCTCATTCTATTCAGAGTGTCATTTTCTATCGGATAAAGTATAAATATACCGAGGGTACCATTTAAAAATCAAAAGTTGTAGTAATTTCCGGTGAAACAGGAAGTGACTAAAAACAATTGAATATATCAATCAATCCTAATTTATGTCATATACTAACATACCAAATCTCGTTTGGTTTGGACGCACCCGGTATAATTATCAAATAACATAAGTACGTCGATCCGTTCTGTAGCTACGAGGCATCCGTAAGGGGGAAAATTATCTATTACCTGTTTATAGCACGCCCATGAAGTACTCATGGGCGTGCTATAAATATTTGAATTAACATTACTTATACAAAAATTTCAAAAATACCAAATCAGTTTTATTTTTTTCAACGTTTTTCCACGTAATTGAGACATAATCTTTAAAAAAAATATGAAATGGAAGAAGAAACAAATAAAAAAATAATAAAATCATAAAACTAATTTACCTATAACGACTTCACTGTTCTCCAAGCTCGGTCTACTACCGGCTTAAGCCGGTCCCAGATACTACGTGGATTTGGCGAATATTCGGTATTCGAGCTTATTTCCGTAGCGTGTGGGAGGTTACCTTCGACGAAGATTCGTACTTTGTCATTTTCCCGGCGGTTGTCGGTAAACTGGCACGAATCAAAGGAGCTCGTAGTGCGGCGTAGTCAACTGCGGAATTACTCCCAGACGCTACGGCTATTTGTTTACATGTTTTTTTTTGTTTTAGCGGCGCGCTCCCCTACGCGTTGCTCTACTACGGGAAATATTTGTCATTGGACGCATTTTTACAAATAACGTAGCGTGTGGAAAGGTGGCCGAAGCCGCAGTACATATTTTGAATATTCGCACATTCGCCAAATGCACGTAGTGTCTGGGACCGGCTTTAGTAGATCCTTCTCGTAAAAAAATGAGACGATGCAAACGACGTCAATAAAGATTCTACAAATTTGGGAGTAGCCAATGTAATGAGTGGGCGAAGTGTGTTTTGTGGTGACATACTCGTCAAGTCCACGTGGACTCTGCCGCGTGTATATAGGTAGCGATCGACAAAATATATTGCTGTTTATTTAAATGTGTTTTGTAGTAAATTGATCATACTCCAATATTTTGACTGCATTCTTGAAATTCCTTCCTTGATACAGTAGCTATTAAAGATACACACAGATCCAGTAGAAGTACTTTAAATTGAATTTATATAATCAGATACAAAAAAAAACAAACTAAATCGAAAAATGTCTTGGAATAATATTAAGCATAAAGTGTGTATTTTTTACTTTGTGAATTTTATAATTTGAGTGACGCTTTCCGAGGTAGTACAATGATTTTTCGGCATCCGGACAATTTACTCAAATCCGGGATTTTCCGCACCTCTGGCAACTGGCAACCGGATTGTACCTAATTGTAACCGGATTTTTTTTGTAAATTCACATATAGAAATTTTAAAACATTTTCCGATGCACGTCATCAATCACATCGAAATTGACACTAAAGCCTATAAACCTGAGTAAATGAAATTCTAGCAAAAATGTTTAAATTTGTTGACTAAATTAAAATACCAAGCAGCTCTTCATTATACTTTATAGAGCAAATGATTGTAACAGATATTTTATTTAGATTAAAGCTGCAAAAATTAGTTTAAACCGATTTTTTTTATCGCCTTGTTTGTCACATTTGTCACATTGCGCCATGTTCAGCTGTGTTGTCGTGTATTATTTGACAATTATCCTAGTGTCAGTCATTATTTTGTATAATATCGTGTTGTTTAATTTTTGGGAGTAAGTCTCGTTTTTTGCAGTTTTTTATAGTTTTTTTCTTAAATTGTACTTCTAACCACAAAAAGTTCTTTTAAGAACTAAATTTTCATGATTTTTTACTGCATTTTTTGAAATGGTGGATTGAAAATATGCCGAAGCCTTTAAACAGTCGAAGCAAAGCGCTTGTAGCTTCCCTGATAAAATATTTTGAGCGCGAAAGTGACAATAAAGGTCCTTTATTACCCTTGAATGCAGTCAGAGAAGTAAGATTGATTGGTAAGCACATTATACCACTTTCAAGTTATTTCTACTTATCTCAATTTGTAGCAGATAGCTGCTGCCTTAAAAAATATATAAAAATTATATACTAAATATATATTGTCTGTCACTTTTAAATTAAGATTCATCTCATAAATCCTTCACAATCTGACAGCGCTGTCGCCATCGCTTGTCACTCAAAGTTGATGACGTACATCGGAAAATGTTTTAAAATTTCTATATACCGATTTGGTCATCGAAACCGTGCGGTCTGGATTTTAACGTGTAAGACAGTGATGTAGACAGCTTAATGGAAAATCAAATGTATTAAAAAGAGATAAAAATTGGGTCGACACATTTCTTCTATGCGGTATTGCCGGACTTTGCATCAAAATTTCAAACCGCACAAGTCCCTAGGCGTTTACGAAAAATGTTACATCTAGGGTCGGAACTTTATTTTTCACTATTAGTTACTCATTTTACTACAGTTGTAATAGATTATATTTAGTTTAGATATATTATCATCATTTCAGTAACATACATGAAAGTTTTTAAAATAGCGTAAAAAACCGGCAACGTAAAAAACGTAAAAAACCGGCAACACTGTATGCCGCTTTTGATTTTGCCTCTCTGTCTGTCAACCGGTCATTTGTATTATTCTCTGTCACACGCATTAAAATCCAGACCACATGATTTCCAGTGTAGATAAAATGATAATTTTGTAAAACTGAATAATCTCTGTCAGTTCTCTAGACTGTCTTCCGTTTTAATTCAGTTCAAGCAAAACGTTTTTTTTTCGTCAACATACAAGGTTCTACTTGATACTTTTTGACTAAACATGTATGATATAATGATAAAACGTTATGTGTAGATGGGGCTTTAGAAACCAATCTCACAGACATTCAAAAACAAATGATCAAGCTAGCTTAGACTTGAAAAATATTGTAATTTATAATTACTTTTCTGCTTTTATTCAAAACTAGCTTGATGATAAAAATTACACATACTTTACACTATGTAATCCAATGACAATAGAATACAAGGACACGTAACGCCAATATACGTACGCCATTTTTTTGGAGGTAACGAATGACTCATCACTAATCAGCTGGTTATAAGCGACAATTTTAACGATTTTTAATAGTTTGTGTGTAGTAAACTTTGTATAAACTTTATTACAGTGGTGATTAGTTGTTCAGCTTACAAGTGTAAAAGCCGCAGCAATAAAAAAGAGCGTTACGTTTCATAGGTAAATAAAAAGTTCACTCCACTTTTTAGCGTTTTCTTATTGAATTCGATAATTATTTTTCTGATAATATAATTATTTTATGTTATATACGTCGATACTAGTTTTGTATCCTTTGTTAACATTTTAATACGTTTTTTTTTCGTAATTAACTAATATGATGCCACCGCATAACACCATAGGCGTAGTCAAAACATTTATCAAAAATATAAATATCTCTTCAAGCAGCTAAGTTGAGAAAAATATGTGCCACGGCACTGTTTGGAGGTAAGGTAACAATTTGATCTCGGGTGTTATTAGTCCTTGTATTCTTTAGTCGTTGATGTAATATAAGAAAGATTTTTATTCTAATTGAAATAAAACTGCCAAAAAAATTCTTGTTTCCTTTTTTATTAGCACGAAGGATGCAAACTTCAGGTAACTTAGTATAATTGTTCTGTTATTATCAAATTCATATTAAATATGAAAAAAAACTATTCTGTTTGTTTCTCTAGGTACAATAGATTTAACTGAAATCAAAGAAGTAAGATTAGGTAAAAACTCGAAAGACTTTGAAAAATGGCCTGACGAAGCCAGATCGAAGGAAGCCAAAAAATGTTTCGTCGTATTTTACGGAAACGAGTTTAAATTAAGAGTTTTAAGTATTGCAGGTAAGAATAATAGTTATTATTTCAGAGATATAAGTAAACCTAGAGGGGTTCTAAAATTAAAGTCATCATATTTTGAGTCAACCAACGAGGGAAGAAGGCAGAAAAAAATAGCGGATATATTTTTCAAGAATAGTACTGACGCATTATGTAATTTTTACATAAAAAAAAGCCTCAGAATAAGCTTCAGAAAACATTTATTAAGGCTAAACTTATTAAAGAAATAAAAATAAATGTTTCCGTTAAAAAGACAAAACTAAAAACTTTCAAAAAAATAATGATACCTATAAAATATTCATTCTGCCGAAAAACTCGCATACTTTTAGGAAGACTTTTTTAACAAAATATTCGCCGGACCCCGTCATACTGCATTTTGTAATTACTACAGTCTGACAAACGGATCTGAAACAACGGGGCAACGGTAAGGGGAACGCACTTTTCTAAAAACATGGCATTATCATATTGTTTTACTTTAAATGGATCTATGTTTTGTTAGGTGATTTCCTAAATACAGTATGTCCCCGGATTGTGTTTACAAGAGGAAAAACTTTTTTATTATTGACATTTTGAGAAAAATGCATTCTTCATAAATATTTCTGCTTATAAAATGGTTAATCCAGTTTAGAGTTTTTCAGATTTCCATACCGTTAAAGAGAAAATTAATAAAACATGAAAATATTGTTACATTTTTAAATTAAAATTCTATCAATCACAATCCATCAAAGAATGAAAATGAAATTATACAGGGTGGCGCACCTCTTTCGCCTCGGTTGATTATACGAAAACGGAAAGATGTAGAAACAAAATATTTTATGGGTATATGTGGAGAGGTAATGTGCACAATTTAAAATGATTTTGAAATATACAGGGTGTTTCAGAACTAAGATCCATACCAAAGTTATATTTTTTCTTATGGAACACCCGGTATTTTATTTAATTTTTGGATTCTTGAGCCCAAAAAAGGTATTTATTATAAGTGTTAAATATGTTTAAAATTTTTGGTTTTTGAGATATTTATAGATATTTAAATTTGCAGGCTACAATAGAATAGATTATTAACATCCTGTACATTACTTTTCTCAGAATTAATTCTTGTGCTGAGTTTAAAGGTAGAGAAATAAACTTTACAGAAAAATGATGTTTCTTCCTTAAATGTATACAGGGGTATCAAAAATTGCTGGTCTCTTTTAAATATTTATTTTACATAAAAACTTCGTTATTTCAAATGCAACACTATGTATTTTTTTAAATAAGTCGAAGCAGATTTAAATGTTCTTTCAAACTATATTAGGGTTTTCTATACCTATCTGGCTCAGATTTTGAATAAAAAGCGATTTATCGATAAAATTGTAATCAAGATGGCTAGTGTTGTCATGGCAAGTTTCTAGTGACAGTCAGTAGCTATTTTCAAAATCGAAATTAGTTTATGGACTTATTTAAATTTATACCAGTTTACTTTTATTTAATTTACCTACAATAGTTTAATGAATAATATTTTTTAAATATGTGTTTATTATTCTATCAAGAAAAACGAAGAAGTAGTTCTTTGAGTTATTTTACGATGACTTGTAGATATATGGATTTTCTATAAAAGAGCCAATTACGGAAAATTCATTTTCTTCACTTCCAACGATAGGTTTCTGCCTAATAGTTTTTTTTATAAACCGCACTACCAGCTCTGCGAAATAGGACAAGAAGTTTTTTTTAAAGAAACGCTTATCAGGAAGATTTCTATTTGGATATCTTTGAGCATAAGCCCTTGAGGCCAAGAAGCAATTTTCCTCACAAAATAATATCACTAGTAACATATCTATTCGTTCGGCCAGCAGATTCTGCTTTATTTTTCTTGATGAAGTAATGAATACTTACTTATTAAACTATTGTAGGTAAATTTAAGTAAACTGTTATAAATTATAAATAATAATGTACATAAACTAATGTCGACTTTAAAAATAGTTACTAACTGTAACTAGAAAATTGCCAGGGCTACACCAGCCATCTTGATTGCAATTTTATTTAAAAATCGCTTTTTATTCAAAATCTGAGCTAGATAGGTATAGGAAACCCTAATATAGTTGATAGATTTGAATCTGCTTCGATTTATTATAAAAAATACAGGATGTTATATTTGAAATAACGAAGTTTTTATATAAAATAAATTCTTAAAATTGGTCAGCAACTTTTGATAGCCCTGTATATATTTAAGGAACCAATACCATTTTTCAGTAAAGTTTATTTCTTTACCTTTAAACTCAGTATAAGAATTAATTCTGAAAAGTAAGGTACAAGGTGTTAATAGAGTCTATTCTATTGTAGCATGCAAATTTAAATATCTTTAAATATCTCAAAAACTAAAGATTTTAAATATATTTAACCCTTATAATAAATGTTTTTTTTTTGGGCCCAAGAATCCAAAAATGAAATAAAATACCGGATGTTCCATAAGAAAAAATATAACTTTTGTATGGATCTTAGTTCTGAAACACCCTGTATATTTCAAAATAATTTTAAATTGTGCACATTGTCTCCCTACATATACCCATAAAATATTTTGTTTCTACATCTTTCCGTTATCGTATAATCAACCGAGGCGTATGAGGTGCACCACCCTGTATTGCCATAGAAACTCTTCTTGATTTTTAAGAATTCACCTATATTTTCATGTTTTTTTAATTTTCTCTAAAACGGTATGGAAATTTGAAAAAGTATAAACGGGATTAACCGTTTTAGAACAAGCAATGTCAATAATAAAAAAGTTTTACCTCTTGTAAAGACAATCCAGGGACATACTGTATAGTATTATTTGTATATACAGGGTGAGTTTTCTAAGATGTTCTCTATGGGTATCTCGGAAACTACTGGAGATAAAGAGTCGGTTAAATGGGGAAAGAATTGCAGTTTTTGGGGTCATAAATATGCGCCTTTCAGATTTTTGAAAAAGTTGATGGCTTTCTAGATATTTCGAAAAAAACAAGTTTTGGCTATTTTAAAAATGGTCCCTAACTCCATTATAATCTATTTTAGACAAAAAGGTTTCAGATAAAAGTTGTAGCTAATCACATCCTTAATGAGCTTGTGTCCTACTTTTCTTTCTAAAGTCTGTCATTTTTGACATATGACGCAAACTTATGTTTTTTTTTAAATGGAAACCATAGTTGGCCATGGCTTCATAAAAGCGCCATTTTTTAAGATTTTCAGTGATATAAACTATAATATGTTTTTTTTTCGAAAAAATACTGAGTTATAGCCAATTCTTATAATTTTTAAACAATTTCACTTAGTTAGCCATGAAAACAAGTTCAATCGTCGTTGCTTTCAGAAATGTCAAACTGTCACATCCAAACTTTGTAAATTAAAATAACCAAAAATTGTACCTATGAATTTTTCAAAGGAAGGAAAGCGTGTAGGATTAGTAGTTCAACTTTTCTTGGCCATACATTTTCGAGGATACGTTACATACGCTTTTTAGAGAACGGTTTTCAAGACATGTTCGAAAAGTTATGATTGAAAGTCATATGATTTCAACATGACTTTCATTATGACACTCCTCCCCATAATGAAAAAAAAATTAAAAATTATTTATATCAAAATTATTTAAACTCAAGGATAGGAAGAGGTGGACCAATTGCATGGGCCTCCTCGATCACCTAACCTATCCATTTAGATTTTTCTTAAGAGGTATATTTTTTGAATATTTTCTAAAATATCTGTGGTAAAACTGTATGTAGTGATATTATTTTTTAAGTTTAAGTTTGTGTAATGTAAATTGTAAAGAACTGTTTAATAAAATATTGTATCTTTTATAAGTCAAAACCCCTATAATAATTAAATAAATAACATAATAAGAATACTATACCAACTAAGTGAAATTAGTCAAGAAAGTTAAGAATTGGCTATGACTCAGTAATTTTTCGAACAAAAAATATATTATAGCTTATATCGCTGAAAAGCTTAAAAATGACGCTTTTTATGAAGTCATGGCCAACTATATATGGTTTCCATTTAAAAAAACATAAGTTTGTGCCATATGTCAAAAATGACAGGCTTTAGAAAGAAACGGAGAACACAGCCTCATTAAGGACTGTCTACAACTTACATTAAGTACGGACTGGTATTAAGGACTGTATTAAGGACTGTATTAAGGACTGTCTACTCTACATTAAGGACTGTCTACTCACTGTCTACAACTTTTATCTGAAAACTTTTTGCCTAAAATTGATTATAATGGAATTAGAGACCATTTTTAAAATAGGCGAAATTTGTTTTTTTTTAAATATCTAGTAAGCCATGAACTTTTACAACAATCTGCAAGGCGCATATTTATGACCCACAAAACTGCAATTCTTTCCCCATTTAACCGAGTCTCTATCTCCAGTAATTTTTGAGATACTCATAGAGAACATCGTAGAAAACTCACCCTGTATAATATATAGAAAATGTGTACTGATTATAAACTGCACAAATCAAGTTAAATGTATAAAATACAATATAATAACACCGCCACTGGATATTTCATTAGTTGTCAACATTTTTACAATTTCCGCGGAGGCGTTTAAAATTGGTAGTACAAATGACCAATACAATACGAAAATGTCATAAGCATGGTTACCCCGTGGCAACTAAACGTGAGAGAATCTCCACCAATCAAGTTGGTTGAATCCGGGATGCCAAGATGAATTTCTCTCAGCGTTTCCGGTTTACAAAAAGCCTATGATAACTTAAAAAGAAAATCCAGAAAAGATCCAGTGGTTTTCAAATTTTAAGTGAAAAACTATTTTTTTTTTAACTTTTAAACTAAACTATCTCGTTTATTTTGGACTTATTTGAAAACTGACAAAAAGAAAATATGTTTCTTTTATCGAGATCTACCAGCCCTGAAAATATTTTTCCCTCATAATGACGGGCATCTGGTCACTATCTAAAATATAGTCTTTCTAATGAGTCATTGAATAGTTATTTAAATTCAAAATTAAATTGGTTTGTATAAATTAAATGTAAAATCTAAAATAATGTGCCATCTGTAAGTGTTTTTTAAGTTCTTCATTCTTGTTCATTTCACTTTTAATGTACTAATTTTTTGGGCGTTTCTATGTTTACTTATTTCTCTGATTTTTTTATACAAAAGAAATTTGAGCATTCGCTTTAATTATAATTCTATTTTTTAAAGCCTTATCTGAAGAAGAACGAAAATTTTGGGTAAAGGGATTGAACTATTTAGTGAAGGATACTGTAAACGCATCATATCCTTTGCAAGTCCAGAGTTGGCTTAGGAGGGAGTTTTACGAAATGGAAGGTCAACGAGAAACGTAAAATTACATTTATCAAATAAAAGTGTATTTTTTAAACAAATTCTTTTCTTAGGATAAACTTGAGAGATGTGAAGTTATTTTTATGTAGAGTTAATTATAAGATTCCTACAAGTAGACTGAGAGAAATTTTTAACGAAGTCGACACGAGAAGACGCACTGAAATTGGTTTTGACGACTTCAGTATTTTATACCAAAAATTGATCTTAGATGAAAACGTAAAACTTTTTTCCGGAGTTTTCTCAAAAATAATAATTTTAAATTATTTTGTTTTAGAATGTGATAAATATTTTTGATAAAATCCAACAGTATTCGTCGACTTTACAAAATGTCAGCTTTCAAGAACTTCAGAGATTTTTGAAGGACGAACAAAAAGACGATTTGGGAAACGATAGAGAGGCGATTAGAAATTTTATTTGTGATTTTTTGAGGGATCCACAAAGGTAAATGACCTGTTATTTTATTTTTCTTCTGTTAAAAGGAGATATATCTGAAAAATTAATGAAATGTTTATTAATCAATTTTATTAGTTACAATTAATAAAATTAAAATATATATAAAATGAAATTTATTAAAACATTTTATTAAAATTTATAACACTGATGTTAAGTGATGTTACCTACAGCAAATTCAAAGACTGGTCTTTAAGATACATAATTACAAAAGATATATTTTTGTAAAGGTTTTACATCCTGTAAATTTAAAACTATGCATTTTCGCACTTTATTTTATAGTTTTTTTTATATTTTAATATGAGGAGTCCATAGTACTTTTAAACTAACTGTAACTGTTTTAAAGGTTGCTGTTAGACTTGGATTCAAGCAAATTATTAAAATTGCATTTATCTTATCATGGAGGCCGGCAAAATATAAAGAGAAAAAGTCAGTGGCGCACAGTTTTTTTTAGAAAAATATTTTAGTGATAACCCATATACACTTGTAAATCTTTCGACACTTTTTTAGCATTAGAATATGTCAAGTTTATAGTAACTTATACCCTCAATATTTCATTCGAATTGCTAAAGGTACTTGGAAGAAAATAAAAAAAAATAAATAAAAAAATGAAAGCCTTTTACCTCCTACAGCTACGAAACAAAATACAATTGAATCTATGTTGATATAAAAATTAAATCTTGCACATGTTTTTTCATGTCATTAATTGCACATGTTTTTTGAAACACGCTGTGTGTCATTTACTAAGAATTGACTTTGTAAAAAATCTGTTAAGAAAAATTTGTAAAAAATTATTTAATTTTTGAAAAAAATAAAAAGGGTCTAGATATAAATCTATTATTTATTTTTTAGGAAGTTTTTTTTGTACATTTTTATTAAATATTTCTATAAGTATCCAAGCCAAGCAGAAATTATCATTAATTATATTTCAAAGACTACTGTGACGCCGTTTTTTCGATCACCTTTTTCGGAATTTATATTTCTTTTATTTTTGTTTTTTGGTATTTTTAGTTAAAACTGTTTGATTTTTAGGGACATTCAGGAGCCATATTTCACCGTGTCCGAATTTCTAGATTTTCTATTTTCCAAACAAAACGATTTGTGGGATTCACAGAAAAATGTGGTTTATCAGGATATGACGCGTCCAATGAGTCATTACTGGATCGCATCGTCTCATAACACGTAAGTCATTGTCGTATAATCTCTCCAGGCAGCGCTTTAAATACAAAGGTTAAGGAAAGAGCATATAAACAAACTCAGATGAATCGCGATACAGTAGAAATCAGAAGTTTTCGGCTCTGTATTTCACGCCGTCCCGTTTACAGTTCATGTTGATCGCATTAAAATGATATTGAAATTGTGGCTTTGCCCATAATATTTAAGTATTTTGATTTATACTGTGCAGTTATTGAAATTACAACATTTTCATCTATGAAAGTTTTGTGATGTAAGTAACGCGGTTTCAGGTTCGGTGTTGCCATACTTTACATAATAACTTAAAATACAGGTACACAAAAAATATTCGAAATATTCAATTAAATATTCTCAAGAATATAAATAATTTTTAAAGATTTAAAATATTCGTCATATTTTATTAAGAATATATGTTCATTATACTATAGCATGCATAATTTATGATGATATTTTGTGGAATTAAAATCAGTATGGCAATAATGGAAGTCTCCTAGAAGTCGCACTTTAAAGGGACGAGGTCACTGAGAGCCTAAGCCAAAAACGTTTCATCTTTTGCCGGCTGTCCCGTCTTTGTAGCCTTTGGTAAAACTATGCTCGCTACCGTAGTTGAACTGTTCTATAATGCAAATTAGACCTAAGATATCAAAATGCTTTTACTTTTTTTATTTTTTGTTTAGAATTTCCACAAATTATATATACTTCCTAACAATTTTATTATTATTATAAATAATTTTTTCGTATACTCGCTATTTAAACCCGTGTATTTGTATATGCCGGTTGTATACAATATTCTCCGATGGTGGCAGCACCGGCGGAGAATGCACCAAGCCTATACAGGGTGCTACAAATTCGAGGTACGAGCATTGGATCTCGATAACCATAATAGATACGAACATGGTTAAATTGGGGCAAAATTGCGCTTTGGGATGTTAACCCAGATGCCATCAAAAAAGTTTTAAAAATTTCAAAGATTTCTGAGTTTTTTGGAAAAAACGGATTTTTTGAAAATCGATTTTATTTTTTCCTGTCGTTACTTTTTAGAAAATCAAAAAATTAATTGCACACTCTCATAGCCACTTTATCAGGTCTATCGGATAGTATTTTTAGATTTTCAAATTAGCTGATAATTTGTGAGATACAAAGGCCAACTTATTTGTTTTAAATACGGACCTGCATTTTTTTCAGGTTTTGAAAGAACCCGGCTTCTGCGTACAGTGATATGCCACACTTAATATATTTTTTTTGTTTGGGGTACCCTAACAATAACAAAACTATTTAAATAATTTTTAAAATAATTTTAAGTCCGGCTCTGGTTTTTAAATTATTTAATCTGATTATATTCATCGCAACAATATTGATCAGCGCTAATTAGCATTGAATAAGAAAAATCGAACCAATTGAAAGATTCAAATAATAATATCTAGGTCAGCAATTTAAAGATATCATTTTTAACATTTTTTATTGTAAATTTGAAATCTCAGTGTACGAACTAATAATATACATAGTATTAATCGTAGTTATTATAAATACATCAACTTCTACAAACTAGTTTCTAATGCTCTACATGTTCGAAAGGGTTATCACTCTCCATAACACACAAATTTATTTTTCGTTCAATCTTATTTATATCTCTATGAACATATCTTTTTCTTATACTTCCGAATGCATTTTGTACTCTTTATTGTAAATGTTGAAATGTATTGATTTCACTTTTACAAATGACTTCAACTTTTGCGACATAATTCGGAAAAAGCCGAACCGCTCCGAAATTATCAAAAGCTTTGGAGGGCGACTATTGTAATAGCGCCAAATAGTATTTACATTATCCTTATGGGCACTTTCCAATCTAAACTTGTTCCTTTTATCTATGATCCAACTATAGACATATGAAGAGGGCCGGCGGTGGTATTCAAAGTTTGATTAGAATTAATTAATTAATCGATAAAATAACTAAAATAATAGGTTCGTTCCAACCGTTCTCGGTACGGTATCGTTTATGCGCAGTGGAGAAAATGCGTTCCAACCACGAGAGAATCGTTTACCGAACGATAACTTTTGCGTTCCAACCAGAGTTGTAATCGTTTGTGAACCGGTTCCGGAACGGTGATTTCGATACCAGCTTAAAGGGAGAATCAAAAGATCTGACCCGCGTATACTATATGACAGCGTACGCGTACTATATGACAGCTGATTATTGTTTTTTTAATTCTTGGCTAATTCTGTATCTAATTTGCCGATCCCTCAAGTTTTATTTGATATTTATCCTTTGTATGCATATTTTAAATAAAGATTTCTCTCTATATTTTTGTACTAAATATGATGAGTGACGACGAAGATGTGATATTGAGCATTGAGCTTGTTTATATCACTGAAGATGATTTAGAACTTTTGCGAAATGAAGCAAAGGTAATTTGTGTCCAATAAAATCCAAACTTCGTAATTTATATCAAAAATATTTTCAACTTGTATTAATAATTAAAAATTAGGTTATGAATTTGATTCTAAAATCAGTTTACAACCCAAAATCAGTTTACAAACTTAATTTTGGTATCGTAACAGAACTGTCAAAGTCGACACATGCGTAGAAATGGGATTCCGATGATCCAAATTATCCTTCTAGAACGATACAAATGTGTGTGTTGGAACGAAGCTAATGTTTTTGCATTTTGAAAAATCCTAGTAAATAAATCTCTACTAAATTTCCTAGTTTCATTTTATGCCCGTAGATATTTGACTGGTGATCAATTTTCATCTGATTCGTCAGTTGAAGCGTACGCTCGGTGTTTGCGCATGGGCTGTCGCTGTATAGAGCTGGATTGTTGGGACGGGCAAGACTGTAATCCATCCATCTTCCACGGACATACACTAACGACAAAAATCAAATTCATCGACGTGATACGCACTATTCACGAGCACGCTTTTGTCACTTCGGACTATCCGGTTATACTGTCTATTGAAGACAATTGTTCCTTACCGCAACAGAGAAAAATGGCTAATAATTTACAGGTAAACTGGTATATTTTTTAAATGTTTCTCTATTTATTTTATTTATGTTTATTTTTTGTTTTTTATCTTGTTGTCTTTTATTTATTCTGTTTTTTTGTACACATAACTTTTTTACCTGTCAGTCTACCTGTTCACTCACAATGTATCTGAAGTAAAACATTGCGTGTTGATGAATAACGGACCGTATTTCTTGAACTTCCATGACGGTATCATTCCTTGACGGTATCATTCAGTTTTACGGTATCCCTTGACGGTATCATTACATCTTTAATGAGCGACCTTTAAAAATCTAATATTTTTGTATAGTAATTTCACAAAATGGTTTGTAGATATTTAATGGTTATTACCAAACATTATTATTTTCACAGTTCTGGATTATCAACTTTTCAAAGGTGTCCTTTAGCTTTGAATCCGTCTTACCTGACAGCTAAAATGTTATGTCTAGACGGGCCTAAGACAACTTTGAAACACTTTTGCTAAGGCGTTTTTAAATTGTTTTCCAAATTAGGTTCATAAAATAAGTAATTGGAACAACGGTAAAACACTAGTAATTTATTATTACAGTTGAGGGTTGGAACCTTTGGTTTTACAACAGCAAAATAAAACACTAATTCACCATAATACACCCGAACACTTTACTTTTGCACTGGGCGCGCGTTTCGCTAACCATGTTAGCATCATCAGCGGATGGACAGTTTTTAATTTTAATCAACTACTGATGATGCTAACATGGTTAGCGAAACGCGTGTCCAGTGCCAAAGTAGAGTTTTTTAGTTTATTGTGGTGAATTAGTGTTTTATTTCACCAGTAGTTTATTAAAATGCATGACATTGAAAAAGAAACATCGTTAAAATTTTTGTTGTAATTTGACGGAAAGATCTAATAATGATAGAATTTTTTTTTTCAAAAAATGTTTGTTGGTAGCTATATCCGCCATAGTATCTTTAGTCCCTCATACACCGAAAGATTCGGCCTGCGGACCCGGCCTTCAGATAAAATTTTGCCTTTGTGAGCCGGACCAAGACTTTGGCGGGCCAGGCCTTTTGCAGACTAAGCCTGTCACAGGCCAAGTGCGCGGACTTGGCCTATGAGGTTAGATTTGTCTAAAAAACGAACCATGGATAACGTCGGTGGACCTGTAACGCTCTTTCTTTTTATACGCAGGTTTTAATACAATAAATATTTATATATATAAAAACTGTGTTGAATTTTGTCCCAAACGAGAATATTTAATCGGGCAAAGATCTAATCGGCAAGCCAAGTCCGCCGACCAAAATACGAGAGTTTTGGTACGTGACAGGCCAAATCCGCAGGCCGGATCCAAAGGCCAGATACGCGGGCCGAATCTTTTGATGTATGGGGGCTATTTAATCATGGATTTTCTCTTTATTGAATATTTTATGACACAAAACAATAATTTAGACTTCAATGCTCTAAAAATCAAAGTTTAATAAAATACTGGTGCAAATACAATTTAAAAACGGCTTAGCGGAAGAGCTTCAGAGTTGATGATATGTAGCCTGATCTAAGCCAATGCTTTAAAAAAGTGTTCTAAAATCACTAGGGGATCTAATAACCGACACCCTTAAATTTTACATGAGATTTCCTATAATGTCCTGAGCCGATGCATTACCCGGTATATTTGAAAAAATAATCCAGTATAAGCATAATTTATAACTGCAACTATCAAATTACTTAACCGATAACCAAAGTTACCGGTTTTGGATTTTACAATATCTTTCTATTGTCTTGTATATTAGGAAGTATTTGGTGACATGCTATTAACTCGACCCTTCGACAAAAACGAATCCGAACTCCCATCGCCCTTCAACCTTCGCCGTAAAATCATCCTCAAACACAAGAAACTTCCAGAAGGTCAAGAAGATTGTTCTTCCTTCCTAACAAAAAGCGAACCTTCTGACACTATGGATCTCAGGTATTCTATTTTTTTTCAGGCTCTATTTTTTTTCAGGCTCTATTTTTTTTCCATATTTTTCCTTAATATAATTAACCACTTTTTGATTTTAGGAGTGCTGTAAGAACCGGTGTTATGTATCTGGAAGATCCAGTCGAAAAGGAATGGACTCCACATTTTTTTGTTTTGAGTCCAAATAAATTATTTTATACCAGTCATTTTAAGCAAGATGGAGATGTATCAGAGAAGTATGATGCTTATTATTATATGTTTTTCATTTTTTTAATACATTATCCTTTTTCAGGGATGAAGATGAAGATGATAATAATTCGTTTTCAAGGCCAAATGGAACAATTCCAAATGAGGAACTTCATTTTAGCGAAAAATGGTTTCACGGCCGATTGGCTAGAGGTAGAGAAGAGGCAGAACAATTGTTGAAGGAGTATTCTTATTTAGGTCAGTTATATATTTTAGTTTTTTTTATTGCAGCTTATCCAGTTTTATTTATAATACCTAATGTCAGAAAATATAATTTACTTGTGATTTTTTTTCAAGCACTAGTCATATGCCTGTGTGGTCTTAGCTACAGAGGCTGTTCATCCATGTATCCTAATCTTATTTCTAAATTATTATTATTATTCTAACATCTCAAATATTATATTTATATCTAGTGTCTCCAACGACAAAATCCTTGATATTGATAGATGTGTCTATCATTTTAATTTCAAAGTAGTTTATTTTCTTTTGCAAAGAAATAAGTGGGTACTGTTGGAACGCAAAGCAGGAAATTATTATATTTTTAAAATTTTATTGGCAAATTATTACTTCAAAGTATATGAAAAAAACTGTACAGACTTGGTGCATTTCAGTTGATTTCAACAAATTCCGACCGCAGCGCTTCAGCGGAAAAAATCTAACAGTGTTGCGCCCAATGGACAAAATGTCAAATAAAAACTTTGCTTTTAATAAACAAAATCCATTAAATTTTATCGAAGATAGTCGAAGGTACTAAAAATTAGCCAAATATTTCAAATTCCAATGCTAATAATATGGAATCATTGCTTAGAACTGATAAGAAAAATAATTTGGTTTTGGTCCGTACATTAAAATTTGTGAGTGCAGCAGATTAACTTTATTTTTTCTGCATTTATTAAATATTTAGTTAGAGTGCCTAACTATGGATTGTAGTTATACCGGTATGTATTTTACTCCGCCGGTTTTACGTAATTGCTGGTAACAAAATTTTAAAAATTTTTATTTGCATATTTTTAATTTTTGTTTTTTATTTAATGTCCTCGTATGTCCTCCACAAATTTTCGTAATATATTACCTCCACCAGTGTTCTTTGTTATGCAACTTTTTGTTTTTGCCCCAATCTGCCCCCTTGTTAGTTATTAAATTTTTTAGATGTCTTCTATGAGATACCCAAAAATATATTATTTGAAGATTGGCTATTAAGTAGTTCAAAGGACAAAGAACACATGATTGTTTTGAAAATAAAAACATTTTTAAATCTAGAGGAAGACATTAAAGACTTAAAACCATTCCGGGTTTAACGGTATAACAACTATAAATTATTGTTACTCAACTTTTCCAGAGTTTTTGAAAAGGTCATAGATGAAATTAACTTTTACATCCAAGTAAAGAATACACTCAGGAAAAATTTTAACTGGATTTTAAAAGTATCTTTTTTTTAATTTCTGGAAAACTAAAAGTATCCAGATTTTCCTAAGAATCCAGAAGTTTATTGAAGGGGTAAAATCGATCCCTATCAAATTAAATCTTGACAAAAAACAAATTTCCCCTGCTTTATTTCAATTTTTTTTCAAAAAATCTGGAAAATACTCTAGCCAGAAATTCAAGAACTCAATTTTGACCTCAAATTCGTGATCCCCGACTTCGAAAACCCCCAGATACCAAATTTCAATCGAATTTCGAGAACGTAATGCTTTTTGTCCCATATGATGGAAACACTGTGCGCCGCGCCGTTTGTTGATCGCATTAAAATAATATTGAAATCGTGGTTTTGTCATAATATTTAAGTATTTTGTTTTTTTTGCTAGTGCAGTTATTGAAACTATAGAATACTCAGGTACGAGGTTTGTGTGATGTAACGCTGTTTCGGGTAGTAAGAAATAAGTGAAAAAGAATTCGAACTAGGCGTCGTGTTGCGTTGTGACAATTAAGAAGTACACACTCGCCGAGGCGACCCAATGCGTGACAAAAAATTAGCGATATACATGCAGCTATTGGTTAGAACCGTCCTTTTTTGTTGTGTATTTCCAGCATAATATTAATAAAATTGCCGAAAAAATTTTAACACGTAAAGGAGAGCGTAATTGGGGCGTTAATGGGTGCAATAACATTCAATAACTCAACTTTCCCGGATATTCAACTCTCCCGAAACAAGACACATACAAGATTTTATAGCTTCATAGTTTCTCAAACCGATTTGATCAAAAGCAAAAATGAATTCAAAAAGTTCGACGAAACAAGTGTGTAAACAAAGTGCTGGTTACATAATCAAAAAATTAAATAGTACTATGAGACGCATAAAGCTTGATTTTCATGCCACCCGTTGTTCGACAATACGTTGATACGATATTAATTTTATTGGTAGAATTTAAAGACTTTGATTGGTTAGGAAATAACGCAGTTTAAAATTTATTGCATTTTTATGCCTCCGTTTATCGGATATACGTTGGTGTTATTTTATATTTTCGTTTCCATAACTATTTTACTTATATTTTTATTAAGGTTAAGGTAAGTTTATATGCATCCGTAATGCGTCGTCCGTCGTTCCGTTAGACCAATCATATTCAAGTATGAGCTATCATTTTTGAAATAAACCAATAAAATTACATAAACTTAACGACGGACGACGCATTACGGATGCATGTAAACCCACACTTAGATTAAATTTGTCAAAAAAGTGTCAAAACGTCCATTATCGTATGAACGGGTCCGTTGACGGGCTGAAGTAAAATATTTATGGATGAAAAGTGGCGCGAAAACGCTATGACCAATCAGAGCACCGTCGGACCATCGCATCAACGTATTAAGCTTGATTTTCATGCATCCGTTGTCCGACGATACGTTGATACGATATTAATTTCATTGGTTGTATTTAAAGGCTTCGATTGGTTAACCGTTTCTAGCCAACCGAAGTCATTAAATTCAACCAATAAAATTAATATCGTATCATCGTATCGACGGACAACGGATGCATGAAAATCAAGCTTTACGGATGCATGAAAATTAAGCTTAATACGCAATAACTACGATAATTTGCAATATTAATGGTATACTTTTTTTAATCAACTAGTGATTAATTTTTTTATGAACATTTTCTAAAATTATAATATTATGTACCTTTAAAAAATTTCGTTATAGCCGAAATAGCCCCAAATATGCCTCACTAGCAAAACGGGTGATAAAATTATGCTCACTATCGCAGTTGAACTCATCTAAAAGGTTTTTTTTTAACTGGAATAATAAATTATAATACAAGTTAGACTTTCTGAAGATATCAAAATTTTTACTTTTTTATTTTTATTTTTAGAATTTTCACAATTTATACTTCCTAACACTTTTAGAATAATTAAATAATAACATTTTCGTATACTCGCTATTTAAACCTGTGTATTTGTATATATCGATTGTTTACGATATTCTCCGAGTTAATGTATTTCAAAATAAAAATTTACCGAGTGTGTGAATACAAAACAAACAGGGGTGTATGTTAAACAAATCACCACATACAAAAAATTATAAAAAAGAACAATTTCTTACTTTCAAACTTCAGGAAACTCCCTGCATTTATTATTATATTTATCAATATAACTTGTGTACGTATATAACAAATAAAATGTATTATATACGTATATAACAAATAAAAAAGTTTTAGTATTGCAGAGGAATAAATAAAACACAACATAAATAAAATTTAACAAAATATTCTATTAACAATAATTTACAAACACCTATTGAATTTTATACCTTAAAAGTTAGTTAATTAACTTTAATCTTATTTTTTTTAACTGGTACCTTTTGGCCTTTTCTCTCTACAATACTAAAATCTATTATTATTTACCTATCATGTGATGTCTTTATTTTACAACTACTTGTAATTCCAGTTTTTTGTACCATATACGAGATGGTATACAAATTTTATTGGTAGCTAATACAACTCTCTGTGTAAACTAAGTGTAAAATTACATTTCTAAAATTTTTTTGTTGGAATTTTATCTCACTATAATGTATAGTGATGTATCAATGAATACAAACCTGTTTTTTTTATACACATTTATTTCTCTTGGTTTACTTATTTCTCTGAGCATCGTATATTAACATTTCAGGCGATGGTACGTTTTTGGTGAGAGCCAGCGTCACATTCGTCGGCGAATATTGCCTCTCATTCTGGCGAAGCGGACAAGTCAACCATTGCAGAATCCGGTCCAAACAGGACAGGCTACAGAAGAGGTATTTCCTTATCGATGGTCGATACTTTGACAGCTTGTACAGCCTCATCACACACTACAGAACGGCTCCGTTAGTCACTGCCGAATTTTCCATTACTTTGCAAGAACCCGTTCCTCAGCCCAATTTACACGAAAACGAAGAATGGTACCATAAATCTACCACCAAGCAACAAGCGGAAGAAGTCCTTAAGAGAAATAAAACGGAAGGTGCCTTTTTGGTTCGGCCGAGTGAAAATGATACGAATTGTTACACAATCAGCTTTAGGTACGTCAAATATTCTATAAAATTACAGTACAGGGTGAGTGAACTATAAAGTTTATTATTTTATCCACTACAGGGATAAAATAACTTGCTAATTAACTAAAAAATGCCCCTCGAAAAACTAGTGGTTTTATATCTCAGCCTATCACTCTAGAGTATGTCCCCGGATTGTCTGTACAGAGGAAAAACTTTTCTATTATTGACATGGAAATTTGGAAACTACAAACGGGACTAACCGTTTTAGAACAAGCAACATTTTTTGTGAAGAATGCATTTTTCTCAAAATGTCAATAATAAAAAAGTTTTTCCTCTTGTAAAGACAATTCAGGGGCATACTGTAGATTGAACTTTAAAATACATTTTTTTTAAGTGAAGGTGTCAAAAGTTGACATATGATATATCGTTCTATTCAGAATGTCATTTTCTATCAAATAAAGTAAAAATATACCGAGAGTTAAAAAAATAAAAATCAAAAGTTGTCGTTTCCGGTGAAACAAGAAGTAAAAAAAAATAATTGAATGCGTCAATCAATCCTGATTGATCTCATATTTTTCGCCACTTTTGAAAAACACCCGTTATAATTTTTTATTTAATTTTAGGGCTGATAGGAAAATTAAGCATTGCCGTATAAAACTAGAAGGTCGTCTCTACACCATAGGCAGCGTTGAATTCGAAAGCCTGGTTGAACTGATCAATTATTATGAAAACCATCCTCTATACAGAAGAGTTCAACTAAGTCATCCTGTCAAAGAAGAATCTGTCAAGTTGCTGTCATTGGTAAGTAGTTTTTTGATATTAAAGACATGAAATATGTGATATATAAAGTATTTATTTCTTAGAATATAAATTTAGTAAATAAGTATAATAATTAGTAACAGTAATAAAACAATATAAAGTATAGCAATTGCACCATTCCAGCCATATGATATCTTTTAAAGATACATAACAGATATATTTTACAAAGCTTTTTAGAGGTTAAAAGAAAGAGATCCCTTTTACCCTTAGAAAGGCCAAAAAATGTTTCTTTGAGAAAGTATTGGCCATGTTCCCTATAATAGAAATATTAACTTATAGCCTAAATCAAAAAAAATGTACACAAAATTACTTAATATATTTTTCTTATTCTAAAATATTTACTATTCAATCAGTCTTTTTTATGAGGTAGGTAATGGTAGTTTGATCATACATAAATTAATTAATAAATAGGAGATAGTGTAATTAACTTACAGTAAATCAGTAAAAAAATATATAAAATTAAATACTTAAGTCAAGATGAAGCAACCTTGATACCATGATATCATATAACATTTTAATTGATTTTATATAAAATTGAATAATATAAAGTAACTTTTATTACTCACTAAAGAGAAAAAATGTTGATAGGTAGTATAATGAATAAGTTAAAAAAATAAATGCTTAAAGCAAATTGAGCTTGATGATCTTTGACTATATTGTCATAGATTTGATCTACATCATAGATAAAGAAAATACATTTAGATTGGAATGCTCGACTTCCCGCCAAAACATAATTCTTAGATAGTATTTATTATTCTTATAGTAAACATACTTCGTAGACCGCTACTAGCGATTGCTAAGAATGACCACAAACACGGACAGAGAGCATTTTCCCTGTTCAAAATCAAAATCAGCAAAATTTAAAACTTTCTTTGCTGAAAAAATTTCTTCGTTTAATTTAAATTTTATTTACTACCGTGATAATTGTAGAAGTGATATTAAAAAGTGATATTAAAAAAATGTGTGGAAAACTGCGAAAACCAACGATTCATGTATTTTCCAACCGTGAATTAATAATTGTTAAACACACTGTATTTTATTTACGAAAATAAAAGAAAGTAATAATAAATTTGAATATAAAATATTTGGCGACATAATGCCGAAAAAAGCTGAACTGCTCTGAAATCTGAAAAAGGAAAAGCTTTGGATCGCATCCGCTGTAAGAACAGCGCCAAAAATATTTACATTGTCTACTATCAATCTAAATTTGTTTTATTTATCTATGGTCTACATTTTGTAAAGCTTTTTAATTGGACACTGTGTAATGTTCATTTTACCTGTCCAAAAAATTATTCTTGTATCGATACATCATCTAAACTTCTTATTTCTTTGCCTAACGGTAATCCAGGGTATTCTTGTCCGTAACCATTGGCATACCTATGGTACAATCCGTTATTGAGATTCAAACCATACCCTGCTCCAGTATACGCTAAATTGTACCGCTGAGGAACGCCCAAACCTTTGATCAGTGGTAAAGATGGTTGACCTAGAGCTGGGTTGTTTGGTCGTAACGCTTTCGGGTAGTACGCGAATCTATCGTAGTCTATTGGCTTGTTTTGGGAAGATATTGTTGAATCGATGTCATCGTAATGGACGGGGATAACAAATTTCAGTTGCTGCTAAAACATAAAAAGACGTATTAGGAGACGTTATAGTCGCTACAACTAACGTTCAACGTTACGTCCTCAATGAAAGAGACTGTTGATGTCATTAGGGCATTTCGTAAAGCACTGCACCTCTTTGAATACAAATGTCAAAGAAGGAGCATATCAACAAATTTAGGTCAAACGTGATGGGGAATTAATATGACTGACTGAAATTTCGGTTTATCAGTACCGTTCTAGCTTTAGTTAAAACCTTATTAAATATAATGTACGGTAGACTCAATAATTTGTTGATTTTGTTTCACGTTATGTAAGTAAAAATATATAATTAGTTAATTTTAAATGATTTTCAATTGATTGGTTTACTACACGTAACGTATATTATACAGGGTGATCCGAACTGTATTCCGGAAACTTCGGCAGCATATTCTGCAGATGAAAAAAAGGAAAAAAGTTCGTATAAATGTATGTCCTAAAATACTTAGGACATACAGGGTGTAGAAGTTTCATTTTTATTTCTTTTATTTTTTTTACATTCGGAGGTACAGGGTGTAGAAGTTTCATTTTTATTTTGATTTTTTCCAAATAATTTTTGACGTAAGGTCAATATTTTGATGAAAATTGGTGTGTGGGAGTTTTTTGACTTGAGAAATTTAATTTTGATGTCAATATGACTCCTACTTGCAGAGGGCGCCACCTACGTATTTTTTAACTGTTTTGAAGACTAATAACCTTCGTCTGTACCTGTATAAAACTAGTGGCTGTAAAAAATATACATTTCCGTGTTTTTTTACGTAAAAAATGTCTCTTGGTAAAAATCGCTACGAGCAATCGTTCTCAAGATATTTAGAATGGAAATAGTCAATACATGGCATTATTGACAAAAAATAAACATGTTGAGTAGATAGCTATTTGACTGAAATGATAATTTTGGAAACTTTTTATTTTTTTAAATTAATCATAAATTTTTGTTCGAAAAAATGATGATAAAACAGTTTCTGTTGAACTTTAGGCACAAAAACATTTTAAATTTCGTCGGTTTACGAGCAAAACACATTAACTCCAAAAACGAATACATTTTTAATGAAAGCGCTATAGGAGCCATAATAGCGCCATTATGGAGTTAATGAATATGAGAGTAATTTAAAAATTAAACTAATAATTCTTAGAAGGTATAGATTTTTTCTGGATATAGAGATATATTCTGGAAGAAATCTAGTCAAATGATATAAATAAATCAAATTTTAAATAATTGGACTTAGTGTGTTTTGCTTGTAAACCGACGATTTATGATTTCAGTCTAATAACTATTTAGTCAACATGTTTAATTTATGTCAATTATGACAAGAATTGGCAATTTAGATACCAAATATCTCGAGAACCATTACTCGTAGCAATTTTAACCAAGACACCTTTTTTACTTAAAAAAAACGTCGTAAATGTATATTTTTTTACTCAGTAGTTTCACGAAAAGGACGAAAAGTTATTACTCTTCGAAGGACGAAAAGTTATTACTCTTCAAAACAGTTAACAATATATAGGTAGCGCCCTCTGCAAGTAGGAGTCATATTGACATCAAAATCAAATTTCTCATGTCAAAAAACTCCCACACACCAATTTTCATCAAAATATTGACATTACGTCAGAAATTATTTGGAAAAAATCAAAATAAAAATGAAATTTCTACACCCTGTATCTCCGAAAGTAAGCATTTTAGGACATATTATATTGTTTATACGAACTTTTTTACTTATTTTTACCTGCAGAATATGTTGTCGAAGTTTCCGGAATACAGTTTGGACCACCCTTATCTATAGTTACTTATCAGTGAAAAGTTATTCCCATATTTTTCCGAACGGAGCGTCCGCGCTGTTCGTCCGCGTGTTTTTTCAAGATAACCGTCGGACAAAATCATCCGGACGGAGAATACGCTACCCATGTGAAATTGTTCATATAAACTTATGGTACTTGCTCGAAGTCGCAAACGGTCCGCACGGACGGTCCGCTCCATCTGAAAGCGCTGTTAATAGAGAATTTCGTTTCCCCCTTTTCCAATGCCCCGTAGCTACAGAACCGATCGACGTACTGTATACATATTTGTATATTCTCTGTATTTTTTAACGGCGGTTACTTATTAATTCAAGAATACATTGTTTTTCCTGTCACCTAAATGATACTTTTATTATTTTTAGTTGAGGTTGTTATTTTTTAGTATTAGTTCATAACCTTACCTGTAATTTAACGTCTTGAGCATTTAAACTGTTAGGAATTGGTTTAGGTGTATTCTTGGTGCTTGAAGGTAAATCAGGCGTGCTAGTACTAGTGGGTGGTGTAGATGAAGAACTCTCTACCTAAAATGACAAATGTTTTTTCACGTAAATAATTTTTACGTAATCAGAAACATTTAAATCCTAATAAATTCTACAAATACTTTGAAGCGTGATTCAGAATTGAAACCACTAATTTATTCCACTAATTTCGAGATTCTGAATGAAGCTTTAGGTCGTAATTTGTAAATAAACAAATGTGGTGTTGTAAAATTGAATTTTAAAACCGAAATCGGACGTATATGATTTTTCAATTTTAAGTATTAGATCATTGACAAGAGCAGAGTATATGTAGAGTTCAGTCTCCAACTTGTTAAACTTTTGAAAAGGATAGAACTGGATAAATATCCAATCTAACAGTAGGGATCTATTTATCTTATTTTTCTGTGGATTTATCAACATAAAATTTCAAGGTGACAATACAAAGACAGAAATTATTATTTTACTTGTTGAATTTAATTCAAATTCTTACCGTTGTCTCTTCTTCATGGTGAGATCCTCCAAAGAAACTACTGAAAGGAACAAATAACCAACTGGATTTTTCCGTTGTTGTAGTTGCCTGTTCTGTAGTGGTACTTTGCTCTTGCATGACAACACTACCTGGTGCGACAATAGCGGGAGCTATTTGATAGGGTGGTACGATTTGGGCTATGGGCGCTGTAAATTTAAATTAATACCATTACAGCGCTTTCAGATGGAACGGAGCGTCCGCGCGGATGTTTTTTCAATATAGCTCATCCGGACGGAGCATACGCGACCCATGTGAAATCGTTCATATAAACTCATGGTACTTGCTCGAAGTCGCGGACGCTCCGTCGTGGACTCTCCGCTCCATCTGAAAACGCTGTTACTTTGTGTTTACTACTTTAACAATTAGTCAATGACAACACTTTCGGGTAAACAAATTTGACTATCTAACTAGACGCCAATTTTTTAAATCGTACAGTATACAGGTGTTTTTCTTAATAACATGCTAATATTTAAGGAGGTAATTCTTGGACCTATTCTAAGAAAAAAACTTCATATGAATGTATGTCTTAAATATGGGGCAACGGCCCAGCTACGTCAGAACGCCGATTCCTGATAGATCATCGAAGTTAAACGACGTTAGACAATGCGAGTGGATGGACGCTTGACTGTCTGGAAACTCTGTCGTGCTGTTGTTCCATGACGTAAAATCTATTGACACACACCTCATTAACGCCGCGTGCCGGTTCGTGGTCAAATGAGATCGTATATGTCGTGAGTAAGTGTCGATTTGAGGCCTCAAGTTGCAAAACCCGCCTTATCCATTGTTTAAAAAAATGGCCTAATGACTTATATATTAATAGTGGACCCTGAAATCTACATAAACATAATCCCAAACTGCAGTAAAAGTCGCGTATTCTTACATAAAATTCACTACCAATTACGTTACTGCAGCAAAATCCGTCTTATCCACTATTTGCTATTTATTGTTATTATTGTTATAAATCCCGTATTTTTTCATAAGCTTTTTACACAAGTATAATATTACTACTGACGTCTTTTCAAATCCTTACTTAATTTTAATAAAATAATATATTTAATAAATCAAGTTAGGATGCAAATACCGTATCATAAAAAAAACGGCATCCAGTTGGCTAGGAAATGACGATCGATGACATTTCCCATTAAAAATTACTGATAAAATGACAGCGTTCTTCATTTCATAGCCAATATGCATCATACTGCAACAAAACCCGCCCTTATTGTTGTGTTTTTTTTGTTTACAAATTAATTTTTATTTCTAGAAAAACGAGATACGAAACAATGATTCCACTCAGTGGACACGTTTATTGTAAATTAACGCTTCAAACATTTGCTAAAACAGTTTTTCCTTATTTAGAAACAAAGTTTGTGGGATAAGACGAGTTTTGCAACTTGACGCCTCATTTATACACTCGCCAAATCTGTTAGCCATAGACAATGGTAGGGTCAAGGACCGCAATTCGGATTCCGCGTAAACAAGATAGGTCCCCTCCAGATTAGCTTTAGCAGCAAAAAGAAGACGTTATCTGTTGAAATACAGGGTGGTTTAAGTTTGTAAAATAACTCTGATGATATTATAGATATTTTTATTAAAATTGATACGTCTTCTATGGATCAAAATACCTTTTTTGATTTGCAATTTTATTAATTTGAAAGAGTGGCGTCCTTACGGGTTTTACATTGAATATTTTCGAAATAAAAAAATGGTACGCCACTGAATTTTCTTGAAATAAACATTATTTTCAAAATCTGGATTCTTTTCATCCGACTCATAATTTTTGCTAGAAAAATTAAGTCGTATCAGTTCAGGGCTAAATAGATAAAAAGCTGATGCGGCTACTGTTGGTCGAAACCGTTTTTGTATCGATTGAAAGGAATTTAAGAGATGCGAACATTTTTTCGTACAGCAAAAAATTCATTGTTGTTTATAGAAGACGTGTATCAAGTTTCGTAAAGATATCAATAGTAACATCAGAGTTTTGTTTTATTAGAGCAAAAAATGTTTTATTAGAAAATTTTACCGCCCTGTATCTCAAAAGTTAAGTTTAGAACATACATTCGTACGAAGTTTTTTTTTCTTAGAACAGGTCCAAGAATCACTCCCTTAACTATTAGCATATCATTAAGTAACACCCTGTGGAATTACTTATAGTAAAAAGTTGTTTCATTAATTGTTCATGTTTTTAGTCTGAACAATCCCTTGTTGTTCTAACTATTTCTGAAGCTTTTTTTTAAGATTCACAATAATCTTCCTGTAATTCAAGTGCACCAACTGACACAATATCTTCAGATTTAGATAATTTACACAAAACAGTTACATATAAAATAAAAAATAAATAATACGAAATACACAATTAAATACCTGGTAAACTTATAGCCGACGTAGGAAGACTTTTATGCCAATGGTACAACACTCTACCATCACTCAGTATAGTTTTCTGTAGAATAACCGGTTCAAACTTGGTGTATCTAATATTGATTGGAGGCGTTGCAGGTAGACCGTCTTTCTCTGCTATTATTGGTTCTCCTTCGATATGTACAGTTGGTGTGGGAGTAGTACTCGTAGTAAATAGAGGCGGAGGACCGGTAGAACTAACGTATACTGTACTCGACACAGGTGCGTGAGTACTGCTCACCCAATAAGGCCTTTTAGTTGAACTGAAATCGTCTGAAATATGGAGAAAACCACGTTATGACGTTTTGGCTAGTTATATTACTTTCTGTTATATCAACAGGGATACATACATACAAGTTTTTGGAAACAAATTTTTGGAAATTCCGGACGAGTCAGCTCTGAAATCCGAACAAAATCCGGACTTTGTCGAAAAATAAATTATGAGTTTATTTACATATGTAAAGTTTGTTTAACGAGGAAATACTTGACAGTGGGAATTGTTGTCCTTTATTTTAATTTACAGATAAATTGTTGTGTTCTGCCATTGTTTATATTTTATATATTTTCTGACTATACAGGGTGCTACAAATTCGAGGTACGAGCATTGATATCTCGGAAACCGTAATAGATACGAAGGTGGTTAAATTGGGGCAAAGTTGCGCCTTGGGATGTTCATCAAGATGCCATCAAAAAAGTTTTAAAAATTTCAAGAATTGCTGAGTTTATTGGAAAAAAAACGATTTCGTTGAAAATCAAATTTATTTTTTCCTGTCGTTACTTTTTAGAAAATCGAGAAACTAATTGTACATTCTCATAGCCACTTTATTAGGGCTATCTGATAGTATTTTTAGATTTTCAAATTAGCTGATAATTTGTGAGATACAGAGACCAAATTAATTTTTTTTAAATACGGACCTGCATTTTTTATTACAGGTTTTGAAAGAACTCTGTCTCTTGAGTACAATGATATGCCACACTTTATACTTTTTTTTGTTTTGGGTACCTTAATAACAAAACTATTTAATTATTATTTAAAATAATTTGAAGTCCGACTCTGGTTTTTTAAATTATTAATCTGATTATATTCATCGCAACAATATTGATCAGCGCTAATTAATATTGAATAAGGAAATCGAGCCAATTAAAAGATTCAAATAAATAATATCCAGGTCATAAATTTAAAGATATTATTTTTAACTTTTTTTTATTGTGAATTTGAAATCTGAGCATAATATTAATAGTAGTTATTATAAATAAATCAACTTCTACAAACTAGTTTCTAATGCTCTACATGTTCGAAATGCTTACCAGCCTCCCTATTGCACAAATTTATAATTCGTCCAATTTTATTTATAGGTCTTTGAACATATTCTCTTATACTTCCGAATGCATTTTGTACTCTTTATTGTAAATGTTGAGATGTATTGATTTCACATTTACAAATGACGTTAAGTATGCCCCCATCCCCTTGGCGACAGGTCTAGGAACCTCGCTGGCCATTATACTACTCTACCATATCCTCTCCATTTTCCGGGGAAATGATTTGATTGTTTATATTTTTTCCAAAGTTGTTTTAGTTTTTTCCAAAAAAATCAGCAATCCTTGAAATTTTTACCACTTTTTTGATGGCATCTTGATGAACATCCCAAGGCGCAACTTTGCCCCAATTTAACCATCTTTTGTATCTATTACGGTTTTTGAGATACCAATGCTCGTACCTTGAATTTGTAGCACCCTGTATATACTATATGTATTCTTCCCTGACTCGTTGGACGGACATTCTTCAGAGGGAAAATTAAAGGCAGTTGAAAACGTGTTAAGTATGTACTGCATACGTTACAAATGGCATCAGAATTGGGATATATTTTTTTAATAGAAAACAACAATTTATACATTTCATTAGTTACTACCTTAGAATGTTACTACACACTTCCGTTTTTGGCATTATTAAGGTCTTAATTTTATTGATAAAATTAAATATTGTACGTTATATACAGATATGTACATCTAAACCAATTTACCTGTTGCATATACAATTAACATGAGATAAATTCGGCCCAACAAATAAGGGAAGATTTCGACAGATGACATTTAAAAAATGACAGATAATACAATTTACTTATGAATTGAAATGACAGGCACAATACTGTAATGGCACTGTAATGGATCGTTGAACATACTTATATTTATAAAGCGCACGTAATCATAACGAAATAAAGACAAAATAATTCACAATTCTAATCCATGAGTACACCAAAAATGAAAAAATTGATCACATAGATATGGGTATTTTTGACCAATGTCGTTTTAGAATATATGACATCGTAACCATTAAAATATTCAACATACAGATTAGTAGTTAAGTTGTTTTACGGTCAGATTTTTCGGACATTTTTCAAATTTTGTTCGGACTAGCTTAAAAACCTGGACATGTCCAGGAAAATCCGGGCCTATGGAAACCCTAGTTATCAAAGAATCACTGAAACTATGAAACTAAACATCTAAAGGTAGCCATACACATACACAGTTTCTTCGTAGCAGAATTCCTAGTAGAATATGTTGCCGTCCAATTTCCAAGTCATTATACTTATGAAAATAAAGATTGTACGGTCACTATAAATGTTGATTGGTAATTGATTAGATAACAATTTACAACAATTTTTTTTGCATATATGATTCTACAGTATGTCCCCGTATTGTCTTTATGAGAGGAAAAACTTTTTTATTGGCATTTTGAGAAAAATGCATTCTTCATAAAAATTTTTGCTTTTAATACCGTTTATACTTTTCGAAAATTCCATACTGTTCTAAGGTGACTACACACACTACTGCAAGCTTGACAAGCATGCATGAACAATCTTTTTGTACAAGCCATGCATAATTTACCTTCGCTGCCACACGGTACATACATGCTTGAACAAGCTTCAGTTTATGCCGCGAAATAGAAGAAGGAAGTTATTTATTAAATAAAGCCATTATTATTATTATTATTATTAAGTCCGCGAAAAAGAAGAAGGAATCCTGAAGGCATTTATCTTTTTAATAACGGCATCTTTATCGGCTTGGCTGTCAATTAATCTATACTTATTAAGTAAAATTTTCTATGCTGCATCCTTCTTCACCCTATCATGATATTCTGGTGATTTAATTCGCCAAAGACAGGGCTGATTTTCATATGCGCGAATAAAATCTTCCAATAATCCTCGATTGCTCCTTTTCAGATCGCTAGACATGATGACGACGCGACGTACAGGTCATTTACGATCACGGACTGAACTAATTGTTTGTACAAGCTGAATACATGTGGTACACACGTACCGTTTCGCTTGTGCAAGCAAAGCTTGTCCAAGCTTGCATGATTCAAATTCAATCAATCATCAAGCGGCTTGCACAATTAAAATGCTTGCGCAAATTTTCCCTACAGACGCTACAGTTTGCTTATACAAAAGGATTGTTCATGCATGCTTGTCAAGCTTGCAGTAGTGTGTGTAGCCACCTTTAGTCCTAATATCAAGTCCTAAAAATCAGAACGCGTTTCTATGGTAATATAATTTCGTTGTCATTCTTTGATAGATTGTAATTGATAGAATTTTAATTAACGTCACATTTTTTGCTGTTTTATGCCCACTTGCACCGTTTGTATAAACCTTGTTTAAAGGCTAATCAGTGATTAACTATAATATTTTATTTGCACCATTACATAAACGTTGTTTATACTTATCTAATCGATGTTTAAACTAAACTGTCATATTTCGACGTTTAAATTTTAAACGTAGATTATCTAACGTCATTATTCTGTGTTATGTTGTATTATTTGGTCATATTCTTTGGCGGTTGGGCTTTTAGTACTTTTTTATACTTAGTTCTTATGTAAAAAGAAATATATAAGATGGATTTTGATGAAAATTACATTTTGAAAGATGATTTGGATATCTCGAAATTATGGATTATGGATTTCCTTGAAAAATTTATTTGACGACTATTATAACTATAACTATTTTGACAAAATGGACGGATCTAAATTTTAGCACTTCACTTTTTTTCTGATACGGACACATGGTCAGTTTTCTTATTTTCTTAATATTATGTCCTTATATCTGTCACATATATTTGCAATTGGAGTTTTTTCGTCTGGGCTAAAACTAACACAACGGTCTCTTTTCTTTTTAATTTCATCGCAATCCATGTCCCGAACTTATTGTTAATTTAAAAGCATACACACACACACACAAAGAGTGTTACAAAATCATTTCCCCTTTAAAACAGAATTTATAATTTGAATACTAGGAAAAAACTACCTGACATTTAACATAAAAAACGGATAAACAATGTTTGAAACCATGGAAAAGATAAAAATATGAAGAAGATTGACGTTGTTGCCAAGAATATTCGCTGATTAACTAAACAAGCTTTCATTGTGCATGGTGCAAATGTAACAAAAATAATCATCGATTAAAATATAATCACTGATTACTTAAACGCTGTTTAAATGCAAATTGGTGCAAACGGCCATTAAAATATTAAAGAAGCACATAATTTATTTATTTCAATGCTATGGAAAGGGTGATAATCTGGTGATAATAGTTATCGGAAAATGTGATACTTCAACAACAGCAAAAAATATGACTTCGATCAAAATTAATAATAACCATCTATCAAAGAATGAAATCTAAATATTACCATAGATACGCTTTTTTAGGATTTCTTTTAGGAAAAGTTCAACCGTATTTTCATGTTTTTTTTAATTTTCTGTAAAACGGTATGGAAATTTGCGGGATAATTGCGGATTTTATAAACGGGATTAGCCATTTTAGAACAAGCAATTTTTTTATGAAAAATGCATTTTTCTTAAAATGTCAATAATAAAAAATGTTTCCTCTTGTAAAGATAATGTGGGGACATACTGTATAGACACTAACTAAAATAACTGACTTGGATTTACATCAGATCTCACAACTATTTGTAGTGGAAACACTGCTTTGCGACACTTTTAGACTTTTATTTTTTTTAGATTTTATGTTTTTGAGGGGATTCAACATTCAAGGTGGTAGTTCAATGATTGGGTGTCTGAAAATATTGAACTTTTTGAACCAAAAACATAAATTTTCTAGCATAATTCTTAAAAATTGTATCTACTTTATTAAAATAAAAACATGTTTTTTAAAGCGTTGTACAACAAAACTGGGTACCTTTGCTTGATGTTGTCACATAAAATCCCCCGTTGGTTTTCTGAATAAAGGTAGGTTTATTTCTGATATAAACCGGCCTTTTTGTCACTTCAACCACAGACTTGTCAATATATTCGGATTTGACCGGTGTGCTGACAGTGCTGCTGTATCTATCAGAACGATCAGTAGGTTTGTTGTCATTTTGTGGTGGTCCAAATAATCTGAAATTTTAGTACGGTTTAAATAGTGATAAATAAAAGACTACAGTCTTAATGATAAAATCAAAATCTTAGTAATAAAAATATACAGGGTGTGCCAAAATTCCTCGGACATGAACTATTACGTGTATTTTTGGAATCGAAATAATTTAATTGGACACAATTTTCCTCTATACAAAAGTGCTTCTCGTTTGAGAGTATCAATCAAAAATTAACCCAAACGTTAATTAATATAAAATTTATGAAGCTTATTGTCAAAAATAAAAAAGGATATTAGGACTCTTTTATAAATAAAATATGTCCTTGACTAGCAATATCACTATCACTATCATCAATATTTTGACGTTTTAAATAATATACGTAGAATACAATTTAAAATATCGATAATATGAGCAATTTTGTAAGAAACGGAAATATATATTTTTCCCTCTCTGTATATGTGATATCTAATTGGTTATTTTAGACAGATCAAATACATTGACTTTTCTTAATACATAGCTCAAATTTCAGCTTTCACTAAGCTGAAATAATGATTTTAGTAATGCTTGTTCAGAATCATGTTTTTATCGATATTACATATTTTAGTTTTTTTTCTCGAAAACTATAAGATAGCTTTTCGGAGGTATAATAAGAAAATTATTAGAAATAAAAGTAGTTTCTAAAAATGTGATAATATACTGTTTGTTCTATTTAGTGTAACAATGATGCTACTACTTTTAAATAGAAGCGGCAACACTGTAACTCTAAAAGCGGCAACACTGAAAATAATTTACGACGATGGAACAGGTACCGTAAGCACGGCCGTAAGATCGAAAAAAACGGCGTCAGGGATGGCTGTGAAATGAAGATCGCTGTCATTTTATACGTAAAATTATATGGGGAATGTCATCAATGTTCATTTCCAAGCCAACTCGACGCCGTTTTTTTTCGATCATACGGTATATATATTTATGTAAGATTCCATATTTTCAAAAAAATCCTTCTACCAGTTCTCCATAAATCTCTAACCGTGGTTCACTCTATACAGGGTGTTTCAAAAACCATGTGCCATCTCTCGTGGGGAGATTCCTCATGTAAAAATAAGATTTATTTTTCATATCAACATAGGTCCGATTCTGCTTTGTTTCGTAGCTACAGGGTGTTAAAGTCTTAATATTTTTTAGATGTATTATAATTTTCTTCCAAATACTTTTAGTGATTCAAATGAACTTTTGAGGGTAAAAGTTACTATAAGTGCTACATATTTTAATGTTAAAAAAGTGTCGATAAATTTATCAGGGACGTGCATATGGGTTATCACTGGAATCTTTTTCATTAAAAAAACATGTGGGCGACTGACTTTTTTTCTTTTGATATCAAAATTATATAGGCCGTTTGATGCCAATTAAAAGTTACCTCTTGATATATTGATATATACTCAAAATTTCATTCGAAACGCTAAAAGTAGTTGGAAGAAAATTATACTAAATCGAAAAAATATTAAAACTTTAACACCCTGTAGCTAAACAAAGCAGGATCGGACCTATGTTGATATGAAAAACAAATCTTATTTTTACGTGAGGAATCACCCCACGAGAGATGGCACATCTTTTTTGAAACACCCTGTATATGCATACCTGGAAAAATGTTGACATTTGCTTCTGAACTCCTCCAAAGTCATATATCGGTCCTCACCGATATCCACCAATGAGGTATCGTGTTTTTTCGCATTGTTTGATGTAGCTGTAGTCTCCTTAGCTCTTTGTTCATAGCTCCTTTTTTCGGCAGCTATGATTTGTCTGATATTTTCCGTCTGCTGAGTTGTCAGATCTTTAGCGCTGGATAAATCGGTTTGCGGATGAGATATCAATGAATGTGATTTGACAGTTTGTAGTGGTGAAGTTAAATTGGTGGCTCTTTGAATTTCTGTGAGTAATGGCAAGGATAAGACGCCATTTATGAGCACTGTGATCTGGAAAAAAATGTGATCTATTTAATAAATAGTATCTTAAAAATTAATAAATGTCACAAATTCTTCATTTTAATTTCAAATTATACAGTGTGCCATTATGCCAATCGTTATATTAGATGGAATTATTATTTGAATGAATATGTTAGTATGTTATAATTCTAATCGATTTAATAGTTGTTGTCATTGGATCTCTATATTTTTGTTTACATTTCTAGTCTAAGTCTAAGTATTTTCTATACAGGGTGGGCCGAACTGTATTCCGGAAACTTCGGCAACATATTCTGCAGATAAAAATAAGTAAAAAAGTTCCTATAAATGTATGTCCCCAAATGCTTAGTTTCGGAGATACACGGTGTAGAAGTTTCATTCTTATTTCAATTTTTTTCATATAATTTCCGAAGTAACGTCAATATTTGGATGAAAATTGGTGTCTGGGAGTTTTTTGACATGAGAAATTTGATTTCGATGTCAATATGGCTACTACTTGTAGAGGGCGCCACCTATGTATTTTTTAACTGTTTTGAAGAGTAATAACTTTTCGTCCGTACCTGTATAAACCTAGCTAGTTAAAAATATACATTTACGATGTTTTTTACGTAAAAAAGGTAGCTTGGTAAAAATCGCTACGAGTAATGGTTCTCGAGATGTTTGGAATCGAAATTACCAATACCTGTCATCATTGACATAAATTAAACATGTTGACTAATTAGTTATTAGACTAAAATCATAAATTTGCAATGTTTTTGTGCCAAAAGTTCAACAGAAACTGTTTTATCATCATTTTTTCGAAGAAAAATTTATGATTACTTTAAAAAAATAAAAAGTTCCCAAATTTCTCATTTCAGTCAAATAACTATCTACTCAACATATGTATTTATTTTTAGTCAATAATGACATGTATTGACTATTTCAATTCTAAATATCTTGAGAATGGTTGCTCGTAGCCTTTTTTTTAGAGATATTTTTTACGTAAAATGTTACAGATATGTACATTTTTCCCATCAGTAGTTTTATACAGGTACGGACAAAAAGTTATTACGCTTCAAAACAGTTAAAACACATGTAGGTGGCGCCCCCTACAAATAGTAGAGTCATACAATAGAGTCATATTGACATCAAAATCAAATTTCTCATGTCAAAAAACTCCCAGACACCAATTTTCATCCAAATATTGACGTTACATCGGATATTATTTGGAAAAAATCGAAATAAAAATGAAACTTCTACACCCTGTATCTCTGAAACTAAGCATTTTAGGACATACATTTATACGAACTTTTTTACTTATTTTTATCTGTAGAATATCCTTCCGAAGTTTCCGGAATACAGTTCGGACCACCCTGTATATTTCAATATCTTACTAGATTTGAATATGCTATTTTCCCACTATATTCCGTTGCCTTTCATTTCTATAATGTCTATTATATCACTGATTTGCAGTGAACATCAATTATTAAGTAAGCTATCAGTGTGCGTATCGTGAGCTGTCCATTGTGAAAGTAAGAGGAGTTCCTTTCCGTGAATTTTTCCGATACTGTAATAATTCAGGAGCAGTCTTACTAAATACATTTTGTGCATTTTTTAAGATTTTCAATCAAAGGTGGCATTGCAAACTACATAAACAGAGTTATACTGTAGTCTTTGGTGTAACGGCACTATTATGTCAGAATGCCTTGTGTGCTGTGGACATACTGCTGTGTGTTTGTCATTGCTAGATGAAAAGTTTTTTTTTGTGCTACAAACTTCTCTATTTTTTAAATAGCACTACTTAAAATAATGAATGGAACTACGACTGGGGACCATGTAGTTGGGGATACGGACCGTGATAACAGAAAAATAAAGAGAAATTTTACTTTTAAGGACTGTCAACAGTTTTTTCAATTTTTTCAGATATCATCAAAACTAGATTTTTCACATGTAGATTATTTTTATGATTTTTTATCCATTTTTCAAGTATACTAGGATTTCGGTAAGTTTCTTGCAAAAAGCTTTGGCAGTTTTCTTTGTTTGCCAAAATTCCAAAAATGGACTAAATGCATCTAGAAACTCTCCTCAGTTATTCTGGTTGTAGAACCCAAAAATCAGAGATCAGTAATATCGGTCCAACCGTTCTTAAATTATAAATTGTGTAACAAGCCCGACTTTTATTTATTTAGGTTGCATAATTTTTCAATGTGGCAATATTGCAAGGCTTCTGTACACTGTCAATAAATTGCAGGAGAATGAACCTGTCGCATTAAAAAGTTTTCTTAAAATTCTTGACAAGTTTTTTGCATGCAAACCTCATAGGCATGTTTCTGAGGCCGAGCACTGTACTACCAGTTGAAACACTTGCTTATAAATTGTTTAATTTAATTCTGGTATTTTTTTTGAAAATAGATTATTCGTGGTTTCTTATAATTTATTATCAGTGGTTAATAAAAATATTACACGAAAAATATAACCTATTAAAGGTGCAAATATGTTCAGGGCTAGTAAAAATTAATTGAGTTATTTTACTTTAAAAATTAAAAGAACTGATTTAAATTTTGAGAACCACTGGATCTTTTCTGGGTTTTCTTTCTTGTAAATTTAATCTATTACCATGTTGTCATTTTGTCAAGATATTATAAATATATAAAAGTTTTTTAAATAAAAACTAGCTTTTTCCCGCGACTACGTTCGCGTTACACCTCGGATCGTTCATGCCTTGATTTAAATGATTGTTTACCTATAGATAGAGCTAGTGAACCAGGAGTTACAAAAATCGACTATTTAAACTATGATTTTAACAGTTTTAGGGCTATTCGTATTTCATATGAAAGTTTGCAATTGTCGATTTGTCAATTGGGTATTATACAGGGCGAGTCTTGAATAAGTGCAAATATTTTCAGGGCTGATCTCGATAAAAAAAAACATATTTTCTTTTTACCGTTTTTCAAATAACTCCAAAGTAATCGAGTTATTTTACTTTAAAAATTTGCACAAAAATATTTTCTACTTAAATTTTGAGAACCACTGGATCTTTTTTGGGTTTTTCTGTCTGATAAATTTGATCTACTACCTATGTTGCCGCATTATCAAAAAATTATGGATTTTAACTAAAAACTAAAAAAAATCCAAAATTTTTTTTAGAAGACTCCAATTTTTCAAAAAAAGAAATTGGAGAAAAAAATCGTGTTGCTGGGGTCAAAATATACTACTGCTAAAAATATTTGCACTTATTTAAGACTCGCCCTGTCTATCCTTTAAAAAAATCGATTTTGTAATTTTTGACTTAAAATTTATAGAGCCATCAATAGGCCAATTTCAAGAGCATTCTTTAAATATTATTATAAAAAAAATTTTTAAAATCCCAATGTTTTAGAACTCGAACCAACGTCGAATTTTTCCAAAATCTGAAAAAAGAAAGTCTCTCGAAAATAATAAATAGTGAAATGACTATTTACCCTCTATGGATATAACCCTTATGGTCCCATATAAACTGTATTACTAAAATAAATAGCAGTTTTTAATTGAATATTTGAGGTTTTCAATTGTCGCAATTTCTTGATATACTCCCCTGATTTATTTTTATTTTTCAAGAGCATTAATATTCTCTTTATACGTTATTTTTTATTCCTAGAAGGATGGTTTGAAAAAGAAATATTTTGTTCATATTATTGATGTCACTAAGTAAACCCTTGTAAATTTTTATACTTCTAGATGCTATAGTAATGCATTTTCGAACAGCAAACTTTCATTCCTTGTTCTACTCCCTAAGGGTATGAATTTCATAAATTCGCTATGTCCAAATAATTAACTCATGTCTTTTAAATGCTCCTTTGTGCAAATTTTTATGTGTATAATCCAGAAATCACGAAGGTTTATAAATATTTTTACTAACTTTACCCATTTGGTTGATGAATTTCAAAAATCTCTACTAATTCTTTCTGTAGAATTTCATTCTTCTAGACCAGATAGGTAAGGGATTACATCAAAGAGGATGAATTTCCAAAAATCGCTTTGCGTAGCTAATTCAATAATCACTAATGTCATTTAAACATTTGTACTAATATTTATGTATCTAAATCTGAGGGTATTAACTGACCCCTAAAATATCTAAAAACTTGATATATAATCTAACTGACACACCACTGACAATGACAAATAATTTATTTCTGGAGGTATTGTGTGTAGGTATTTTTCAGGTATGTTTTAATATTTAGTCGCTTTACACAAAGAAATAGCATTTAAACAATATAAAATTACTTCATAACAAATCTAGACATATATACCTTTCATTTAAAAAAAGAATCATCAAGATTGGTAAAGCGGTTTCGGCGGGATGGATGTAACAAAAAAAAACTTTGAGCTTTTATATATGTATGGACTTAAATAATCTCCAAAAAAAAAATTAAAAAAATTCCAAATTTTCATATTTCTTTTTGCGAAAAAACCTCATAGGTGTGTTTCTGGAGTCAAAATGTACTACCTCTAAAAATATTTGCACTTACTTAAGACTCACCCTGTATAAATAAAATGGTATTAAAAAAAGAATGCCTCGATTATGCGATTATAAAATTACGTTCTATTATAAAAGAAAAACAGTAAACAAACTAATTGATAGAAAGTATCTCATCCACTTACCAGTATCGCTGTTTTCGCCCGCATATTTCACCCCGGCCCTTTAAATACCGTTTTTCTAACACCACCCGCCCACAGCTACCAAAAAGGGACACCTGCTCTACGACGTTATGTATAGCTCGCTCGCCCTTCTATTGACCCTAGACCATAGTACCAGAGTGCAATGGCTTTTTACCTTTGCCTGCGTCCGCTTGGCTAGGTCTCTTCTATCTACCTGTTGGTTGCGGTACTGTGCGAGCCTAGACTAAGAGCGGGAGAGGGAGGAAGAGAGGCACCTTGCGCGCAATCAAAACCGAAATCACCGTCTGTAACTCCCCTCGATGGGAGTTTTTTAACCCTCGCCTCGGCTCCGCTGGAATGCAGAAGGCCCTATCGGCGGGCCTACTACGGTGTTGGGAAAGCCGGAGTGCCTTGTACGATGTCTCAATAACAGTGTTCCAATGTAGTATTTACATTCTAATGGGCAAAATAATTTTTTACAACCACATTTTTTCCTCATATTCACTCGTAAATAGTTGTTTCAACAAAATACACTCACCGGCACGCCAAAAGAGGCACCTCAAAATGTTCATGTTTTTTAAAGTTTTATATATTGGGTTCTAGTGGGACGATTTTGATGATTTTTTAAGCAATTTGTAGCTAAATTATTCGAATTTTTAAAATCTTCCAAATTTCTAAATCTTAATTTTTAAAATCTTTCAAAGGTCTTTCCAAATTAAAAATGAAAGTTGCTATCTGTCAATTATACGAGGGGAAACAAAATGTTGATATTTTGGTGACAGAAAAACGCCCTGTGGAGTACGGTCACAAAGCAAGGGATTTAAAAATCGTTTTTTTATCTAGTTGTATCTTTTCTCGATAGTTTGTTTTTTGATTCATCTCAATAGCTTTTTTTTGGATATATTCGCTTTTGAAGAAGACACTAACATGTTTTCATATTTTTAAATTAAAACCATACCTTTGCTTTTGGTCCCAGTTAACAGCCCTATAAAATAGTCTTGATTTATGTAATGTCACTGTCTTTTAAAAATCATATTATTATTGCCTGTTGCGCAGTTATTCTAGCAGAGATGGTTATATCTAATAAAAGTTTATCTCTACCATGATCAATTAAAGCAGCAATAGCCGATACTTCAGAACTTAAAACCATCTGTACTAAAAGAGAGTAAACGAACATAGAGTAAACGTCAACAAACAACAATAATAATTCAATGATAGTAACATTACAAAAATAAAAAGTGTGTTTATGCGGATCCAAAAGAAAAAGCACGCTTTTAATGATAAAATTGCTGTAAATCGTTAGTGTCTTATTTAAAATCGAATATCCCCAATAAAAATAAAGCTATTTAGATGAATCAAAGAACAAACTATCGAGAAAAGACATACCTAGATGATAAAATAGATAGATTTTCCAATTCCTTGCTTTGTTAACATTCCACAGGGTGTTTCAAAGTTTCACCAAAATATCAACATTTTGTTTTCTTGTATAATTAGTATAATTGACAGATGGGAACTTTCATTTTTAATTTAAAAAGAGATTTTAAAAAGTCAAATAATTTAGCTACATATTGCTTAAAGAAATCATCAAAATAGCCATATAAGCCTAGTTCAGACACAGCTAGTAATTTAGTTGAGTATCAAGTAATTTAGTTAAGTAGCGAGAATCAACGATAACAAGAACGATAACTAATCAGTTATCGTTTAGACCAGTTTTCGAAAGAAAATCGTTTATGAAAGATATTAAAAAATAACTATCTGACAAATGAAGAGCGTTTGTGTGTCAGAAAGTGAAATATTCTTCTTGTAATGAACAGAATCGTTGGGAGCTTTTTCTAATGCACCGAAAATGCCCGCCCTCGCGTGGCTCGTTGTGTCTACGACTATCTGAACGTCACGCCGTCTTCTCAATAAGAACAATGCGTTGGACTACATATTCCCCAGTTCATAATAAGATCGAACACGTTTGGGACATGTTATATAAACGATTAAAATACAGATTTTCCGCAGTTCAAAATCCCGAAGAAACAGCAGCTGCTGTAGTTGAGATTTGGGAGGATCTGTCTCAAAAGGCGATTGGTAGTGTCATAAAAAGAATAAAGAATGGGGAGATGGATATCGTGGTGGAAGACACACACACTTTATTCAAACAATTATAAAATACAATGCCTATACCCAGTAGAAAAAAATAAGTTCGAATGTGAATGTCGGTAAAATCAATATAAAAATCCGACTTTCCTTTGAAACATTGTATTTTCTTTAATAATTGAGATATCGGTATAATCGGTATAATTAATAAGACAAGAAAATGTTAAACATATTTAATAATTTCTGAAATTTGAATTTATAGGACTATAAATTAAAAGTATATGTGTTCTTCCGGCCTGTCTGGTGTTATAGTAGGTCCTAATGTATACCCTATTAAAATAGTACATATACGTTCCCTTCTTCTTCCCCCGCTTCTTCATTCCTTCTCTATGGTTTACTGGATATGATTCTGTGTCTTATTCCTCCCTTTTCCCTTCGGTCCTCGGTCTTCACTCTCGCTCTTCTCAAACGGGTTTCGATATCCGCCCTATTCGCCGTTTGCGGTCGGGCGGTACTATAGACAGCGGCGGCGGATCTAGATTCTTGTTTCATGACGGTCTCAATTTTGCAACAATTTTTTGTTATCTAAAACAACGATTAATCAATTCAGTGTACTGGAAATAGATCCGATTTTTTAAATTCACTAAAGCGAAAAAATACAAATATTAATTAACTCAACGTTTCGGGAAGTATATTTCCTATCTCCCTGCGTCTTCAGAACTAGGGATGGACAATAATGGATTATATTAATTTACTTATATATTAATTTACTTATTACAATATTAATTTACCTATCGATATATTTTAGACCTTGATTTATCGATAATTATCGAATTACCAATACAGGATTATCGATATATTAATAGATATCGGCATATTTATGTATCGATAATTTTTAGGTCACCTATTGTTATTAGATATACCGATGATTATCGATATATCAAATAATAGTAACATCGATATATTATCGATATACTAGAAAAGTATATCATTTAGTATAAAAAGCAGGCTTATGAAGTTTTAAAGTGGTCTTCTAAAGTGGCCTTTTGATATCTCGATAACTATCGATATAATTTGATAATTATGATTAACCGATACTTTTTTTACTTAATGCTATCAATATGTCGATAGATGACGATTTGTCGATAGGTATCTATAATTTTAAGGTCGCCTATTGTTATTCGATTGTATCGATATATCATAACATCCCCATCCCTAGTCAGAAGCAAAAATGAACAGTGAAAAAGGCTTGATAGATTTTATATTGTCAGTTTTATGTAATATTGAATCTTCCCCATAGGCAGGCGTTTTCTGTTTAGTCAGGAAATTTATATAAAACAACAAAGAAAACAAAACCGAACGTAACACCAACAAATAAGAACAACAACACATAGAACATAGAACTAATAAATAAGAGCAAATATAACTAAAAATTTAGTTACTAGAAATAAAAACATGTAGTACTGACATATACCGGGTGCGTCTCAAAAGTGGCTCACCCCTATTAACTTTTTTATTTTGTCAGAAAAAACAACCAGATTTGGTATGTTAGTATATGACATAAATTAGGATTGATTGGCATATTCAATTGTTTTTGATCATTTTTGCTTTCACCGGGAAGGACTACAATTTTTTAAATGGCACCCTCGATATTTTTTTACTTTATCGATAGAAAATGAAATACTTTTTTTTACTTGTAATGTTGAATGTATTTTTTTACTTTATCGATAGAATAGAATGACATGTCATATGTCAACTTTTGACATTTTTCCATATTGTTTATTTGAAATTGTAACATGCGTTTCATAACGACAATTTGACTCGAAATACCAAGTGTATGGTATCAAATTATTCGTAAAAAAATGCCTTTTCCAAATATGCTAATGAGCCACCCTCGTTCCATTTGAAAAAATTGAAATATGATTAAAAATACGATTTAAGCATTTTCTAACTGGCCAGGACAAGACTCACAAAACATTAGACGATCAAATCTATTTTTCCATGACTCCCTGATAGAGAATTAGTGTTTTAACATAGCCATGGCACTCTAGATTGAATTTTAAAATACAATTTTTTATTAAGCGAGAATGTCAAAGTTGACATATGATATGTCATTCTAATCAGAATGTCATTTTCTATCGAATGAAGTAAAAAATACCGAGGGTGACATTTAAAAATCAAAAGTTGTAGTCATTTCCGGTGAAACAGGAAGTGGCCGAAAACAATTGAATACACCAATCAATCCTAATTTATGTCATATACTAACATACCAAATCTCGTTTATTTATCTGAAAAAGTAAAAAAGTTATAGGGGTGAGCCACTTTGAGACGCACCCGGTATTGTGATAATTTCAGATTTTTTTCGTTGAGGCGCTGCGGTCGGAATTTGTTGAAATCAACTGAAATGCACCAAGCAATTATAATAAATATCTTAGAAATACTGTGTAGATGCACACTCGTTCCATTTGGAAAAATTGAGATGTTGTTAAAAATACGATTTGGGCATATTTTAACCGGCTAGGAAAAGACACTAAAAACATTAGACGATCAAATCTATTTTTCCAAGGCTCCTTGGTTAAAAATTAGTGTTTTTGACACAGTTATGGCACTCTAGATTGAAATTTAAAATACAATTTGTTTTTGAGCGAATATTTCAAAAGTTTACATATGATATGCCATTCGATTCAGACTGTCATTTTCTATGAAATAAAGTAAAAAAATACCGAGGTTGCAATTTAAAAATTAAAAGTTGTAGTCATTTCCGGTGAAACAGGAAGTGACCGAAAACAATTGAATACGTCAATCATTCCTAAATTATGTCATATACTAATATACCAAATCTCGTTTTTTTTTATCTGATAAAATAAAAAAGTTATAGGGGGTGAGCCACTTTTGCGACGCACCCGGTATATGATGATTTTTATACCTACTTTTAGTAAAAAAATGAACTCTAAGTGGGTAATGTTTCAATAAGCGTGTCTTTTATTTTACATAATGTTTATTATAATGTTTGGTGGGTCTAGGCACCAAAATCAATTTTGAACCCCAATAAGAACCTTTCTAGATACGCCTCTGTCTACGTACGTGTGCGTTAGCCCATCTTCACTTGTTCAAACCTACCTCGCTTCCATTTCACGCTTAATCTTCGTTCTCTAACAGGTTTTTTCTTTCCTTTTAAATTGTCGCAGGCGAAGCAGCAAAATCAATCTATTGTGTTGAGTAAGCTGATGATGGTCTTAGTAGACCAAAGTGATTATAGAGGATGATTTCTGAATGATCTAATGTAATTTAGAAGTTATTTGTTTTGCTTATTATAATTTATTAATAAAAACAA